GTGCAGGCGGTCGAAGACGGGGAGGACGGCGCCTTTCAGCTGCTTCGCAGTCTCGTAGTGTTGGTTGGAGATACCCTGACATGGTTAGAACAGTTATTGGCCTCTTGTATGGTAGGATGGCGTACCTGGGTGTTGGACCTGATGTTCTCGAACATGCCCGCAACACCGCCGAGCGACTGGTCGAAGTGGTGGCCCTCTTTCAGGGGATCCTTGACCGTCTTCCCAACGTCAGCAGTAGAATCACTTTCGCGTGAGTTGCACCAACCTTCAAGACTCGCTCATACTCCTTGCCGTGTGCGTGGTTCGTCTTTTCTGTTGCGGTAACATAGTCTTCGAGGTACGCAACGGCGTGTTTCCAAGCTTGCAATCGCTCTGCAAAGAGCTTCGTGACCTGGGACATGTCAGGTTCAATTCCTTCCATTGGGCTTTAGACTACTCACCTCTGAGGTATCCTCTCCTGGAATGGCATCTTCGTCGGCAGATCGGTTTGTGAGACTGCGCGTGGGCATCTCACTCGTAGCAGAGGTAGGCGCAGACATATTGTAGGTGTGTAACGATAACTCAGTGCTCCAAGGTGTGGTTGTGGAACGTGTCTTCGCACGTGTATAGAGGAACGGTGTGGTTATGGAGCTCGACCGATGCGGCTAGCGATATTTGGTTGGTTGAAGGCGGGGTTCGCGTTATTTCGGAAATGAGCCCGTCCAGTTGTGATGCAAGAGGGGGATAAAGATGACTACTATAGTAGTAGGTAGAAACTATTTTGCAGGGTAAAATCAGGGTCCAGGGAGGGGGTTTAAGTTTGATTTAAGCTCCGAGTGTGAATCTAGATCGACATGCATCCATCCTAGAGAAGCAGGGCATCGTAGAGGTCTGGCTGGACCCATGACGTCAACATTGGGAGCGCCTCTTCCAGTTGTGAGCGCGATCTGCACTAGGAAATGACATTTGACGGGCTGCGCCACGATCCCAGGGGAGATCGCGGGAGATGCTCCCTTCAGGAGGTTTCATTCAGCGTCGTTGACGTATCGTGGCTCCATCGCATTGCGCCAAAGCGAGAAGATTGTCATGGCCTCCACAGCGCATGGGTAACCCCACAGTAGCACCGAGAGCCCCCATCAACATGCCACCTGATACCGATTAACTTGCAATAGACAAGTAGCCTGGTGTTTGGATCTCAAGCTATAGAACTTCCAAGGTTAACAGGAACCCCTGTCGACTTTCCCGTGGCTTGTGGAGCAAATATTTGTCATGCCTTCAAGTACAGGATGTTCAAAGATAGTTTCAGCTCAACATGGCGAACAACACTGTGATGTAACAGAGACACGTCATATTCTGAACTCTGTAAGACTTTCTACAGTCATGCAACTGCATATGCATTCACGTCTTCGTCCAAACCTCGGCATCCAGATTCAAACATCGCCAACGCCCCTTATATGCGACACACTGTCACAGAGTCACCGTGGCTACGATCAGTACTCCATAGCATCCTCGAACAAACCACGTAACTGCTCTCTCTCGGCATCAACGTTCTGCATCTCTAAGCTGGGTGCTAGCATCAGCACTCTCGCCTGGGGAATTGTGCCCTCAACCAACTGGTCCAAATGCTCTTTTCCGAAGCCAAGCGCCTTTAGACCGCGTGGTTGATCACCGAGTTTGATCAAGAATTCTGCTAGCGCCTCACCCAACACCTCTCCCGCACTCTCTGCCTTGACATTCGAGATATCCACACCAAATGCCTCGGCAGCGGCCAGATGTCTCTCCGGATTCGATGCGCCAGTGAACTTGAATACTGCTGGTGCAGTTACTGCAACACTAACACCATGCGGGATGATGGTGTGATCAACATCATAGCCAGCATGCTTGTATCCGGGATTTTGCCCTGAGATAGGGTACGACATGCCGTGGCAGAGATGCACACCTGCATTGCCGAAACCAACACCAGCGAGTGTTGCAGCTAGCAACATCTGGGATTGCGCCTCATGATCATCAGGGTCTTTTACCGCGCGAGGGAGGTACTTGACTGTGTCCTTCAAAGCCTTGAGAGAGAAGATGTCGGAAATTGGATTCGCGCCTTGGTAGGCCGGACGATTGATGGGGTTCGTAGGTCGCGGAGTACGCTCATAGTACGGTATCGCAGTCCATGATTCAAGAGAGTGGCAAAGTACGTCAAGACCTGAAGAGGCGTGGACCGCAGAGGGCATGGTACGTGTGTTTAATGGATCAACTATGCCCAGCGTAGGCTTCAAGTTGCGGTGAGCGATACCCGTCTTCGCGCGTTTGGAGACTAGATCGAAGATGGCTGTACCGGTAGTCTCAGATCCAGTTCCTGCTGTTGTTGGTACGGCAATGAGTGGGAAAAGCTTCGATGGAATAGGCAATCCCTTGCCGAGTGGGGCGTTGACGAAGTCCAGGAAGTCTGCCTCGGGAAATGTGGTGTACAAGTTCATCAATTTGGCAGTGTCAATAACACTGCCACCACCAACAGCTAAGTATGCATCTGGTTTCCACGGCTTCGCAAAGTCGATCGCCTCTTTTATGCTATGGTCCTTTGGCTCAACCCTGACCTTGTCGAAGATCTCATATGTTACACCCTCCCTCTCCAGACCTTCGATGACCTGCTTCATGGCATCTAGTTTCCGTACGTTGGGGTCTGTGACGACCATGACACGCTTGCTTCCCATATTCTTGAAGTCCATACCCACTTCCTTTGTACATCCGGGCCCAAATCGTATGCTGGATGCTGCCATCTCGAAAGCATATTCCTTCTGCTGGAATTGATCGAGGGGCGTTGCGAGATGTCGCCGTGCTTGCTGAACGGTAGCTGGCGATTGGTGGTAGTTGGGATTCGAATGGCAGGGACATGACGGGGGATGCGTATATTGTACAGTACGAAGGAGATTGAGTGCGCGTGCTGCCCTCGAAGGCGCTATGCGGATTGCTGTTGAAATCACCATGGTGTGAGTGGGCTACTGTTTCGCTGATCGGTTGTGTGGAGAAGCGTGGGGATACGCGCGAGGTTCGCGAGAAGACCAATTGTACCCGTCAACTGATATGATTGTCAAGTTCTTTATCACTACCAAACATACAACGATGGCTGTCTGGGCTTTCCGATTACTCTTCGGGAAGAAGATGTAGACAGCATGGCATTTCACGATGCCATACCTGCATCGCAGCTCGACCTCGGATGACATTGGCGCCATCCTGCATACGGTATTCCGGAATGTGGGGTAAGCAAATGCCGCCACCTTGATTCGGAGAAGGGGCCTACGACCCACGTTTTGCTCCAGGTCTTGCGCGTGTACGGCGCCGCTGCGAATTGGCGCGTAGGTAATGCCTAAGTATGGTAGAGGCTGCGGACCGTGTATTGCCGGTTGGCGTCACCACGTTCTACCTTGACGTTCTTCAAAAGCCAATCTCGTGAGATCACCACCAACATGCTCAGAATCTACCATCGACCAAATACGGATACTACCCAAACGCTCTACTGCATAAAGCCTTTGGCGCATTGTGGCTTACACCGACGAAACATCGTTGCGCTCAAACCGCGCGCCCCATAAAGTTGTTGGCACCCAAAGGTTGTCTGTGTCCGTTCCGAGGAGGCTGAACGCACGATCTTTATCCAGCCATTGTTTGCCTAGGTAACGGGCCGGGGCGCAATTTCTTCACACTCTTCGCTTAACCATTCCAATATCGGACGTCAATCTGTTTTAGTTATCGTGGCTGACAAGTATTGAGGCTCCACCAGGAAGACAGTAATCAGAATGGACTCGGGACAGGGATCTCGGGGCCGCGGCATGGAGTTGACTTGTCGATGCAAGAATGCGGCACAGTTGCTAATGACTTGCATCCTCACCCAACTGTACGCTTCTCACGTCGCAGGATCAGCACAGGCGCAGCAGCAGTGACCACGTCGATGCACTCGATTTGCGAAAATTCATCGTCAACAACGCACTGTTCTTCGTGGCTTTGATCATTCCCTCATGTTCAGGAATGGACCAGGATTCGTTGTGCGGGCCGCCTGGTTGGCGTGTGACGGGTTGTAGTGCCCCCGTCCTTCACAGTACATAGGCGCCTTTCTAGCCGCCATGGGCTTATCACAACCCGCCAATCCGCACTTCTCCTCGCGATGGGGGTAGCACAGCAAAGTGTCCACCTGGGTTGTCACGGTCCCGTCGTCTAAATCCTCATCGATTACTGGTTGTTTGACGACTGCGCGGCATACGCCTTCCTACATGTGGGCCAGCTCGACCAGTCGCTAATGTCGCCATGAACCGCAGCATGAAATCAACTTCAGGAAAATGCTGGCGAAACAGTCGCGCGGCTCATTTCTACACCTACTAGTCTTGGGGCTTGAAGGATGTCAAAGCATCCAAGCGAGTCTTGGTAAGGGATGGTCCATGATGCGACGACAATACACGAGTGTGAGGCACAGTTCCTGGAGGATTATCCCAACCACTCACACGCATGAACTTCGGTTTAGGCGGTCTCACGAGACTAGTTCGGCACCCTGCCGGCCGACGACTGGATCATAGACGCCGTACGGGACGTAGGGCTCTAAGTTTGTCCAAGATCAGCCTGGTCATATTCTATCTACACGGGTATTGGTAGTTTGCCGCGCGGGGCGCTTCCACCGACCGTTCACTTCCATGTCACGCGTCCTGAACGCAATGCGATGCCTGTGTGATCCAGCGGAATGAACGAGCCCAACTGGGTCTTCTGGTCCTTCCGATCCGAATGTCATCCAATAGCCGTCGTCCTTCTAAGCGACGGACGAAACGGCTGAAGGTCCATGTAGCTTACTTTGTTGTCAACCTCAGAACCGTGCCGCATTGACAGCACCGCCTGGTAGCAACGCCAGACCCCGCAGGGCCCCTTACCGACAGTACGGGCTGCACACTTGCTAGCCGATAACCAAGACCTGATAGCCAGAAAACGATATGATAGCCTGAGTCTGCTCGTCAACGTGGTCTTCAGCCTTCATCCCAAAGCCCAACCCCACCATGTCGCTACAACTTCGTATAAGCAGTTCTCAGGAAAAGCGACCTGCTTTTCGAGGCAACTCGCGTCGCTTGCTTCGATTAAGCGACGTTCCAGAATCGCCTGCGACGCTTGGAGCGAGTTGCGAAGCGGTCGAAACGGACGGCCGTGCATGTCGTGTGGGGCTTCCCTCTGGAGCGAGCGATCCGTGGTGCGACAAACACCATGATGAATGGAGGGAATTGAACGAAAAATGGAGTAAGACACAGAAAGAAGCGGAAAGAATCGTGGTGCTTAGCCTGGACGTTGCGAAGCAAAAGGTTTTGAAGTTGCGCCAGTCCGTGGACCTTAGGCGACAGATTCGGGACCGCTTCTACCCTGGTGGTGGGGATATCCAAGACTACATCAAATGGCTCGCGAAGCTGGAAGGCGACGTCCGACAGCTTGCAGACTCTTTGCTAAGTAAACGCTACGAATCAATAAAGTTCGAACGTGGCCTAATATCTAGGACAGTGCAAAACTTGCAGCGTGGACCAACCCCAGAAACCCCCGGAGTGCACACTGGCACTCCTCATCCTGACAGGGTCAGTCTAGGCGAAACGATTACAATCCTTCGATCACCACTGGACCCCAGGATACCTATCGACTCTCTTCAAGGCATGCCGGATGATGGCACCATTCTTGTTCTCAAACACTTCTATCAGGATCTTTGCGCGGACAGCGTTCGACGACTGTACAGTATAGTACCAGACTTGGACGACTCGCGCAAGCAAGCCAGCTCTCCTGATCAAAAAGAGCAGACCCCACCTGACAACGGCACCGACATCATTCGCGCCTGGTTTCGCATCATGGTTCTGAACGATAGTGAAGCTTCCGCTCTCGAACATGCGACCAGGTCGAAGAGTATCCACGACTTCTTAACAGGATGCTCAGCCAGTCAATTGGAAGAGTACTGCGACTATTTTGAGAAAGCCTGGCGCCCGAACGCTGTACAGTATCTTCGTGTAGCAATTTGCGCTCAGACTCTGGCCGGTGGGGACATCAAGACTATACAGCTGCTTGGCGGTACTATTCCAAGTACGACCGAAGGACTAAGAATGACCAAGCCGTGCTGGGACATACTGTAAGTTAATCAAGTTCACCCAGGGTTATGACTGACACTTCATAGCTACCGTTGGTTCCCTACACTGCTCACACCATGGTCGCTTGCCAGCATCTGCTCCAACTTCGAAGACTACACAACCATCTGCAAGCTGCTGATGCTGAGGCTATACAATGACCACTGGTACGATCCGGCCAGTATACTTAGCGAATGCTCAACCGGCGTCTACATGGGCTTCATACCAACTACGAAAGGAGACTTCACTGCCAGTGCAGGTCTCCGACAAGAAGGTCATCTATGGGTTCAACGACAGTCGCGCAACTACCTGTGTGGACAAATGGCAATTGGTGACCCTCTGACACAGGCGTTTCTTGACGAGCTTCGGAAACGAACCTCGACACTCTACTTGGTCGTCTACGAGGGCACACACGCGGATGCTACTGTGCACCCAACTGAACCCGATCTATTCATCAGTCGCCATCGCTCAGCAATGACTCTTGACGAGCTTGAGAAGGCCGACTACAGCACCACGTTAACGCTAGAAGAGATCAAAAACCACCTGCGAATGAGGAAGACGACGATGTATGACCCGATAGTAGTCGACTCCTGGCAGTTCATAATCATTGATCGCGAGGTTGGACTGCCTTTCCGACTGATCGATATTGTGCAGGACACACTTATGATGCTCATTGGTGATCCCTCACCCAGACAAATGGCAAAACGTGTCATTCGCGAGATCATACCTCCTTCTGTTCAGGAAATCTTCTTGGAAGAGATCCACATCGACTGTACGCCCGAACTGCGCTATCCACCACCAGCCGAAGTACAACATGAAGGTAACAGGTGGAGATGCTTTGATCCAGATCCTAAAATTCTTGCTACAAAACAAAAAAGGATGACACAACAACAAATGACACGCGATGACAATCGTTTCATCAGACGCGTCATTGAGGACATGGAGCGATATGGCATCGTCACCCTCACAACAGAGTATGAAGAGCCACAGACCCGACCGATCATTGTTCAGGCTTCTGATGGTGCTCCGGATCTCTACTTTCCCTATGAGAGTGGTGTCACGGTATCCGAAAGCGGCCGTTCCTTATCACTTCCTCTGCCACCACCCAGTTGTCTCCGAGACTTTGCAGAGAAGTACAAGCAAAAGCATCCAAATGCCATCATGGCAAAAGGCTCAATACAGACTCATTACTGTGCATGGCCAATGCCTGCCATTAAGAGCTTAGGGAAAAGCGGTCTCAACTTCGCCACATGGGAAGGCCATGTGTACCGCTGGAACGCTATGCGTATGTCTTTTTCCCCTAATTTGCACGCACAATATTTGAGCCTATGAAGACTAACTATTCGTAGCATTCGATCGCCCCTCTTCCGCAAACGCATGGCAATATTACATCCAACACTTCCTCAACTCCAAATACCCATTCGTCATGTTCTACCTTACCACATTCGTCATTTGCGCCACAGACCAAGAAGATGGCGAGCGCAAAGCTGCGACTATACTCGAAGAGATGGAAGATAGAGGCTGGAGAGTTACATTATCGAAGACGCCTGAGTGGATGAGCGACATCGATGAGTTGAGGCTCGAGAAGCTGTTTAATGGTGTTCCACCTGCCTAAGGTTATAGACAATAGATGCGCATATGCATAACAAATGCGCGCATAGAGGGTCCAGCGAGGCTCCAAAGAAGTTTAGGGCATGGATTGTAGTCATGACATGGTTTTGGGCATATATCTGAGCATAGCGAGTGTTGACGTGGTTACGTTAGATAGTTTTGGAGCGTTTAGCCGTACTGCATACCCCTGATTTCTATGGCATAACGGTCTTTCTACTTGCTTGACATACTTTTTCGTGATAAATCATTGCAACCATTGATCACGTTCCAGAAGTTCGAGAAGTCTGGAAATATCGAGCACTTCCAAATTTTCGGCTGTAGGAAGGGCCTGATTTGAAGAACATAGTGTACTTCAATTAGCGACAAAACGAAGTGAACGTGGTGAGGTCGCAAGCTGTAGGGAGCGCGACAGGTCAAGATAGTCATTCCTATTGACGCGACACCTGTGTTGCTTCCTGAGTGGGGCGAAACACTGGCTGAGGCAAGTTTTCCCGATGTACGATCGCGTTGGTGTTTCACTCTCGAAACGCGTTCTCGCCCTCCCGTGGATCCCACCGTCCCCCGCACTTCCACGATTCAACGTCTAAAAACAGTTGTAGCGATTCGTAATACAGTTAGGCATGCATTGAGGTGACTCTGAATTGTTGTCTCGAAGCAGTGGCGTAGCTCCGTCCGTTAGAGACCATCACGATCACATCGTTCAAGCTTCAATACACCCATCGCCATGACGGTGCATCCACAACCAAGCCGACAATCATCCCTTACGCGTAACTATTTTTGAACAAGAATTGGAGCCTCATACCTATAATGTCGCAGTATCGATTCTGTAGATTGGTAAAGTGCGTCGGACGCGACTGGGGGCGGCATGTTTTGCTGAATCGTTTCATCTCTGGCTTCACGACCAGGTCGTGTTTCACGTGTGCTTCCAAGACATACAGATGTTTTTGTACATGAACAGAGCTGAACCCCAAACCGTTCTTCCCTTCTCTTATATCTGCATTGTTCGAATACTGTATTCACCTACAAACAACATCATCTCATCATGAGATCTACCATCAGCCTCAGCTTACTTGGAGGTGCTCTGGCACTCTCTAACGAGAAGATCGAATTTGTCGCACAGACGCCTCTCATAAAGGATGCCTGTCCTTCAAATCACCTACTCGACAACGGCAAATGCCTGCCTTTAGCATATGGAGATTCGCCGGCATCAACATTTGCGTTCCAATCCAACACAACCCAGCCCTCGCACCCCACAAACTCCCTAGAAGACGCCCGTGTCCTGGCTTCTCAAACAGAAAATTTCCCTTGGACCTTCTGGCCAGAATGTTTCACTCATGAGAAGGTTCCGGATCAACCATACTGCGTCTTCAGTGACCAGAATTTTGCATCAGGAAGGGGCATTTTCATCGTCACCGCGCAAACCTTTGCCTATGCCATGTTAGAGCACGATGCTTTCCAACGTCCACAAACACTTGAGCACATCAACCGCTACGAGAACCCGCCATTTGAACAGCACGAGTTTCCAGGAAAAGGAAGGGGACTAGTCGCTAACAAGACACTGAACCAAGGCGACCAGATTTTCGCTTCCACGCCCATTCTCATCACCGACCCCGATCTATACGAGCTTCCAGAATCCGAACGCCTTGCCCTCTTACACCGCGGCATAGCCACCCTTCCCAAGTCAACTCAGTCCTTGTTCTGGGAGCTCCACGGCCACACACCTGACGACGACGAAATTGATGACCGCATCACAACCAACAACTTCGAAGTCGCCATCGATGGCATCTCCCAATCAGCGCTGTTTCCTGAAATCGCAATGCTGAACCATGACTGCCGACCCAATGCTGCATACTTTTTCGATGAGAGGACATTAACTCACTACGTCCACGCCATCCGGCCCATTCACCCCGGTGAGGAGATAACAATAACATACATCAACAACGAGCTACCCCGCACGAGACGCATCCACGGTCTTGAAAAGACCTGGGGCTTCAAATGTTCTTGTTCAACATGCACTGCGCACCCCGCCCTTGCCGCTGAATCTGATGCTCGTCTCGAGCAAATCGCCTCACTCCAATCAGATATCCTGAATGACTGGACGGAGTCTTCGTCTGCTACGCCAGCTACAGCGGAGCTTCTTATCAGTCTGTACAAGCAAGAACGACTAGATGCTAGCTTAGCGACGGCATACCAGCATGCTGCGGAGGTATACAGTAGTTTTGGGATGAAATGGGAGGCGGTGCGATATGCAAGGTTGAGTGTGGATATGAGCATGTTGGACAAGGGTTGGGGCGATAAGGATGTTGCGGAGATGAAGAAAATGATCGCTGAGCCGGAGAAGAGCTGGAGTTGGAAGAAGAGGGTCAGTGTCAAGAGTGGAGGATGTGGTTGTGGCAAGAGCCATTGACATGTATTACAGAGTGAATATCTACGTAATGAAATATGAAGCCTAATTAATATCAAAGTAGTTATCTACAATGTCGAAAGTTCTACAAAGAAGAGAGTTCTGTGGAACAATGAGGGACTACTCAATCAAAGCGCCCCGCACTTTGGTGTTGTAGACATTGTTGCACTTGGTGCTTGCATCCTTCGCAGAGATCTCTCCCTTCTCGCCAGCGCAGTTACCGCTCGACTTCTTCTTTCCTGCATCGCAAAGTGCGACACCAGCAGCGGGAACAGAGCCAGACAGCTTGTCGGGGGACTCAATGATGGTTGCAGCCATACCACCAACGAGATGGAAGTCGATATGGCAATGGAAAAACCAAACACCCGGGTTATCAGCCTTGAAACGAATGACAGCGTAGCCGAAAGCCGGAACAACGACACCATCACGTTTCGCGGGTACTTCCGGAAGCAGGTCCTCATCGCCGTTCCAAGCTCCGACACCCTTGGCGACGACCTGGAAGATATGGCCGTGAAGATGCATGGGGTGGGGGTACATGTGTGGGTTTCGCATGTGAATCTGGACGATTTGGCCGGACTTGACGACCCAGGGGTTGATGCCAGGACCATATGTTGCGGGATCCATGCTACCGGTTGTCAAAGCAGTGTAGAGCGAGGGGACTTGAGGTGGAACCCATGGTTGTGAGTTGAGAGGTGTACGGGTACCGACGCCCTCGAAGTATGTCTGGTTGGTCGTAAACTCAATGTTGTTGTCGACTGGTCCCAAAAGCCCCTGGTTGTCAAGTGGCTTCACTTTGAAGTCGTCAAGGATAGTGTCGGGTGCTGCAGTCCAGTTGTCGTCGAGGATGTGATCAATCTCATCACTAATTTCGTCGATGACATCATCAATCTCGTCGAAGACGTCCTTCATGTAGGACATCTCTCCGATGATGGTTCGTGACTGTTTAGAAGGGGGAGGCTTTGTCATCATGTCTGTGTCCATTTGTGCGATCCAATTGGTTCCTCCTTTCGGGTCCTTCTGGCCTTGCACAATCACACCGTAGCTCTGGCCTGCGCAAATGATGATCGTTTCCGCATCCCTAGGCTGTGATTGCACACCGTCGACTTCGACTACGCTGAGCGTGTAGCCATCGATATGGAATCGGGCACATGCAACGGCAGCAGTATTGACGATACGAAGCAGGTACCTTTTGCCCTTGGCAATCTTGAGGTTGAAAGGCTTGTCGGTGTCGTCAAAGAGGAAAGAGTCGGGCGAAGCAAAGTCGGCGTTGGTATTGGAAGGGCTCATATACTCCTCAATCATTTCTGGCATTGGGCGATGGTACCTTTATGGTGTAAGCTTGCGAAAATGTTCAGGTTTGGATTTGCTTACCAGTCTGACATGGAAAGGTACTTCTGTTCGTCAATGTTCAGGCTCTTCTCCCAGGCTCTGTCGTGTACAATCATCTTGCCTCGCAGACCATCGGGGTATTGCCCTTTCTCGTGCGCATGGTACCAGTGAGTACCAGCAGGGTTGGCAACGAATGTGTAAGTGAAAGAGCCTCCAGGTCGAATGGGACACTGAGTGACCCCACTGGGGCCGTCATAGACCTGGGTGCCTTTTTGCCATATACCATGGAAATGGAGAGCAGTTGTCTGATCTGGAAGGCTGTTGTGAACTGTCACTTGTACAGTATCGCCTTCATCGCATTCGATGGTAGGAATAGGCCATTTGCCGTTTATTCCTATGACCTGCCTCTCGAAGCCGTCAGGCGCAGCCTAGAACGAGTTAGTACCTTTTTGTGGTGGGAGAAAAAGATATCGGTGGCCTATCGCCTTTGGTCATGACTAGGGATAAGAGTACTTACAGTAACGTAGCCGACATCGAAGTCGTAGCTAACAGTCTTTGCGTAGGCTGCTCCAGCATACACCGACAGCAGCAGTGCCTGAGTTAGACCCAACATTGTGCTTGCAGAGTCACGAATGTAATACAAAGAGGGATGTCAAGCTGAAGAAGCAGCGTTCAGAAGAGTTTAAGTATCGACGAAAGGTTTCCCGTGAAACGGCTGACGTCGTCGGTCCAGCTACTTCCTGATCGATGTAGCCCAATATGAACGCGTATTCAATACCGCAAAGCCCCCGACCCTTGCATGATGTGCGAAGATCAACGCATTCAGATAGACGACTCTACCAGAAAGGGTAGTACGTGCCTGAGCACAAGCATTCGACATACGCAAAGGAATTCTACTGCACGGATACAACTGGGATCTGACCATCTATCCGTGACTAGCGGGCGGTAATCCGGGAAGGTGTTGATCGTCTCGATCATGGTGAAGGCGCAAAAGCTTGATGATGATGAATCATGTTATTGGTCAATGTAGGGTGTTCGCAGAATCAACAAAACTTCCAACCCATGCATTCAGCGACTAATAGCATTTGGACCCTCGTCCGGAACGCTGTTCCTCGCGTGGTCAGCTGAAAAAGAATGGAGGACACAAGTGGCGTACATCTTGAAGCTTCTTCGTTAGTGCATCTAGACTACAAATAGGTTAGTTCGATGCGGTCAAGGCAAAAACGATGATGATCTCTCGGAAACTTTGGTATACCTTGTACCGACATTCGGACATCTATAGGAGAGCCGATGTGGTACAGCATATTCCATGCAGACGCCACACTTCAATGAAATTGCAATGTTTCGCGTGCAATTTGTGTACATGGTCGTCCTTGGTGTCAAGGCAATCGTACTGTTGGGCAATTTGATACAACTTGGCGGCGCTGGAACCCTGAGGCATGGGAGCCTGCGGCCAGTCTGATGTTGGCTCTTGAGTTATTGACAGGTGCCATTCACGGAGGCGCATACTGCAGTCTCGTGCTTTTGTGGCTCATTCTCCGGTCCAGCATATTTTCTTTGTGGTTCGAGAAGTCTGATAGCCGATGCAAAAGCCGGACAATCCTGCCTGCAATCAAACAATCCGACAAGGCTTATCGAGCGCTTAGTCTTTCCCAACATTTTAAACCCCTGACCATCGATTGCGCAGATAGCCGATCACGTTCCATGGGGAAAAGGTATCTTCATGGCGTATATAGTACCTGGACGATGGAATTTGTCGAGCCCGACCGAGTACTTGGTGCTTCAAACTGATGCGATAGACGACGTCGACATCGCGACGAGTCTGGGTTCGTTGGGCGATGCGAAACCTTGGCCTGCACGATACTAGCATCGCCCGGCGGTGAATGCCATGATGGATCCGAGCCGGAGAATGTTCACCTTCGTACTCTGTTGAGGTGCTCAAGGTGTCCGGTTTGTTCGCGCCGTCAGTGTGAATCGCGATCCTTCGATCTTTGGCATGACAGCGAGTGCTGCGAAAAAGAGACGAGATGTGTACGCACAGGTGTTTGCTAGAGAAGATCGGAGAGACGGAGGCCGAATTGCCGAGCGGGTTCGCGATTCCCGTCGCTTTGGCCCACAACACGAACAGTAGCGACCTTACTCCTGAGATGCAACTCATCCATTCAACCTTCTGATTTGTCGTTGATCTCGTGATTCTGACCCCGCTACAGCTGTGGGTTCGTGATCAATCCAAAGAAGTCTCTAGATCTGACAACGATGAAAAGAAGGCGCATTCATTGGATCCCCAACAGAACCCTCTGGACACTCTGTCCTAATGCGACTGAGTACGAGAGGGCAGAGGTGAAGGGTATCAGACTCCGTATGCTGTAGCACCGTTGCCAGGAACAGACACAGATATAGATGGCGGCGCAAGGTTGGCGCTGTTGCAAGGAGGCATACCAGGAAGCGTTCGTCGACCGAAGACCGAGTAACCGGGACGACAAGGCCCCAAGCACTGCAGAATATCGGACCTCACCATTATAACACCAGAATTCTTCCATTGTCGAATGGGACTTCGTCTGGCCTTTTTGTGGCTTAGTGGACTCACCGTATCTCCTGAGATGGCCTTAAAGTTCCTCCGCAGGCCACGTCAAGATGTAAGCATGGCGCAAGGCGTATGCTTCTGAAATCCCAGAACACAGCGAATAGACTGTAGAGTCTACTGAAACTGGCGCATCGCTTGCCTTATGCTGTGCTGTACTCGGTGTCGCTTTGCGCGGTTATGTTATCGCACAACACCACGTCCAACACTCGATCCGCATACACTCTCAATCAATCTATGCAAATGAGACGTGATTCGGAAGTAAGCAATAGCATCCGGTGAAGCATTTTCCATTGTCGACAACTGCTCAGCCCACGTTCATGACGCACCCAATCATACCCACATTCGGACGCCTTGGCTACCGAAGCGATGCCGCTAGACCAAACCAGGTCCAATTCGCGAAAGATGGATGACGGTAGGGTGGCTTGTAGCAGAAGGCATCCTGCATAGATTTCGCATCCTTGGCTGTTATAGGACTAGCAAACGTTACCGCTGAATAACGCGTATCCCACACTGCCTCAGGCTGGGGCTATACATGCGCCGCCATGTTCGGATTCGGTGCATGGTGCGAAACACCATCTCATCTGTGAATCAGATTGTAAGTTATAAGGTATCGAGCCTCCGTCATCAACAACTCCCCATCACACAACAACGCACCGCGCTCGGCCACTCACAGATATCCTTCTGCTTCAGTCGCCTTAGATCTTCTGCAGCCCTACAGCAACGACCTCCCCACGCGGCAAACCCCTTTCACGATGACTGTCCCACCATCTGCTCCTTGGTGGTGCATCGAGGTTGGCCCTGAATGTCCAGTCGAAGGTACACTCTATGGCTATTATCCTAGTCTCGGCGCCAACGCCTTCTTCACGGCTTTTTTCGCCCTTTGCCTCATCATCCAGCTTGGGCTAGGCATCAAATACAAGACGTGGACCTACATGGTGAGTCAGTTCTCTAATTAGCAAGACGCATCTAATGTCCTGTAGATTGCTCTCAGCCTGGGCTGCTTGGGCGAGGTAGTCGGCTACGCTGGTCGTCTTATCATGTACAACAACCCCTTCGACGAGACGGGTTTTCAGATGCAGATTTGCTGCTTGATTATCTCGCCCGCCTTCATCTCCGCCGGAATATACCTTACACTCAAACACATCGTCATCAACTTCGGCGAGTCGTGGTCGCGTCTGCCGCCGGTCTGGTACACTCGCATCTTCATCACAGGTGATATCCTGTCGCTTGTTCTCCAAGGCGCCGGCGGTGGCATTGCTGCAACGGCAGATCCGGGATCCGACTTGCTAGACATCGGAACGAACCTCATGGTCGCAGGTGTCGTCCTCCAGGTTGTCGTTCTGTCTTGCTTTGGCATCCTCCTCGCCGAGTATGCCATCCGTACCTACAACCGCCGCAACCAACTGTCCGCCGAAGCAATGACACTCTTCCACAAAACATCATTCCGTTGCTTCATCTTTGCCATCATCGCTGCCTTCTTGGGCATCTACGTTCGATGTGTCTACCGTATCCCAGAGCTTACCGGTGGCTGGAGGAGCGAACTCATGCGCGAAGAGACGGAATTCATCATCCTGGAGGGTGCCATGATCGTGTTGAGTGTGCTGGTACTTACAGTGTTCCATCCCGGCTACTGCTTCCCAGCACTGGGTAACACAATTGGCAAGAACAGAGCTGCTCGGGGTAAGAGTATGGACACATCTGTTTCGGACGTTGAGATGGTATCGAATCGCGCCTAAGTGGGTGGAGGGATGATGTTATGGGCTCTCGATACCGCGGAACTTACTGCTTTTGCTTACTTGTCTTGATACACCAGTGGCGGAATTGTACCACACGAGATAAAGCAAACATGATCCCCTTTGTTATAGCGAGGAGTTTAGGAGTTCTTTAGATCCGGCTGCAATTACGAACGTACCCTACCTTATAAATCTTGTTACTGTGTACCCACTTGTGTAGACCGCTGTTTTGTCAAACAAAAGTTCGTAACGAAGTCATCTCCCTGCGTCCATATGACGACCTTCGCGGAGCCTCATTTAGCAGCCATCCTCTCAGCCTACGAAGGGTCGAAGGGTTTCTGGATCTCGTATGGAGCCGGAGCGGTCGCTCTGAATAGCTTGGCGTGTGAAATCCGAGGCCGAGACTTCGGCGCAGGGCCTACCGAGGTGGATCCAACTGCGTCGGCGAATTGGCATGTTTAGCGAAGTTCTAGTGGCTGACATAGTTACACGATACAACCAGCTTGAAGCCCGGTCAGAAGAACTCGTCACGACAGTCACGTGTTGAAACGTTAAGGCTTAATGACAATCTCTTCTTGAAATATGGATTTGGAGCAGGAAAGTGTGTTAGTCCGATATTACTAGGCTAATGCATATCATCTGCTATGACCGAATGTGCCAATCTTATACTCGATGAATGAGGCGGTTCGGGCCCAGATGCCGACCACGACTGAGATGTAGTACGAAAACGCACCAACATCGTAGCCCTATGTGCACATGTTCATGTTGATGATCATGCGATCTCTGTGCGATGTCACCACAATCAACACCTGCCGATTGCGCACTGCTTTTCGATGCGTGCAACAGCAGCATTCTCAGTCGTTAAACTGACGAGTGAGGTGGTCTAGGCTTTAAATTTGCCATCGTGGCACCCTCAAGTAACCCCGGAGCGCATACAGTGACGTCAATCGCGCATGGCTTATTTGAACCTCGTCCGCCAGCTCCTCCAGGTCGCAATGCGCTTTTGCCTTTTTTCTCAATGGTCGGATCGTCATACAGAGATGAGGGATGGCCCACGGGGCAAGCTCAATGGTGACGACGCTTTACCGATTCAACTGCCGTACTTGCTGGCATATGCATATTGTTCCTGCTAAGTTCAAGAGAAGGTTGTTTGATAGACGCTGTGGATGGCACGACGTCACACTTCGATGCGAGATATTTCTCGGTTGCAAGGGGACTAGAGTCAGCACGACACGCACAGCCACCTCCACTCCACCACACCTGTCGCTGTATGCCGTCCAATCATTCCCTGTCGTCTCGCACACCAGGAACTGCCGTTAGAGGCTCTTCTAGTCATTTGGCGAGCCTGGAACCCGTTGAACGATGGCGCGCAGTACATCTGGACCCGGATCGCCGCCGTACATGTGCCGCCGAGGCTAGCAACCCTCTTCCGTCTGGAACGCAGTCGCGGTTTCCACGCTGCTACACTTTTCTCCTTCGCCTCTTTCCTATAGTAACAGTTTTCTACGTCTTTTTCTGGACCGATCTCTACAGCACGTGAGATGGTGCGTCATGGCATCTTATTGGTCAGGGGAGCATTCCCGAGAGAAGCTTCTTGTCGGCCATTTGTACCGAGCTTTCGATCAAATTCGATCTCGGTCGCAAATGCGATCTGTTCAGATATTCCAAGGCAGAAAGCCCGTGGCGCACCGACGAGTTTTCTCATTGCGACAGAAAGTGGCAAACCGCTGTAGATGGTGACAGACAGAGGAAGCGCAACTCCAGAGCGCGAGCCACGCCCAACAACACGGCCTGCAGACCACGCTCACGCATCCGTCGCCTAGGCTCCACCGGCTCCACAAGCGACTTTGGGATCTCTGTGAGCTTGGCCATCTCGCCCACTACCTCGACATTGACGGCATGGATCCCTCGGAGCGATGGCAAAGTATCGCACCAGCCTCAGACGAGCCTGGCCAGCGACGCCCAACATCAGACAGGCGGAAGAAGCGACAGGCCGTTGCTGTGGCGTGCGTGCAGTGCCGAAATGGGAAGGCCAAGGTACGTGAGACCAAGTTACACGCAATAACCAAGCCCTGGAGTATCTGAAGGTCTTTCGCATAGCTACCAAGCATGCTACCATGCTCACCAGTGCTGCGAAGTATCGGAGGATACTTTCAAGTATCCAAGACCCATGTATTCCTGATTGGCGCTCTTCTATAGGTACTCACAGCATGTGATACTACCTATAGGTAGGCTTTTTGCCCATATTTCGTTGCCCCCTCGAACTCTACTGATCGCCTATGTGTAGTGTGACGGCACAAGACCCCAATGCAATCGATGCAAGGAGAACAAGCTATCATGTCAATATGACGTCGCCGAAGGCGTCTCGAGAGCTGAGCGCATGAAGATTATGAAGAGAGACAGTATGACTGGCGAGCTGGACGATCTGAAGCGCATAGTCACCTCACTGCGCTCGGGCACTGACGACCAAGCCGCCGCTGTTCTCGCTCGTTTAAGACTCGGTGAAGCACCCGAAGATGTTGCGAAGACCCTCCCGATGACAGCATCCCCAGCGACATCCGGCCATCCCCCCAGGTATGCATCACTCGATCACAGCATCCTCTGGCTACAGCACATTGATAACCCGGGTTCAGCTTACTGGGCCAGGAGTCTACGGACACCTCTGGAAGCGGTATGAGTCACGAATCGGTGTTTGATATGAGTAAAAGTGCCTCAAAGCTTCGACAGGGTTCTTCTATATCTTTGGCATCACCTACAAGCCAGAACGCGGGCTGGTCACCTTCTGCAAGTATTTCGTCATCCTCGTTTGCACCATCGGGCAAAGGGAAGCAACCAGCTACCGGAGATGCAACGAAGGAACAAAGCTTCCTAGTTCCATTGTTCGATCGCGATGACTATCTTCTAGCGCGGGATGAAGCCGAAGAAGATAGTGAAGATGAAGATAATCTCCAGGATAGTCGGATCGACCCACGGCTTTTACAGCATGCGTCAAGCCTCGATACCATGCGGAACACAGCGCCGTCATCCACAAGACCGTCTCGAAGTCGAAGACCTTCGCCACACAGACAGAACACGATTCGATCGATATACCCTACACATCTCGCTGGTCGCCAACCCATGGTAAACACTATCAGAATACACCCAAACCTCAACCTCCGCAATCTCTTTGGCAATATGCCCTTCTCCAGTAGTATCCGAAGCAACCACTACCCAGGCGACATCCAAGACACTCAGATCAGTAACTTGTTTCTACCGACGTGGGCTATGTTGCCCATCAATACAATGCCGGACCCTGGGTCATTGAAACGCGCAGTACCCAGTATACTACAACAAGCTACAAGTTTAATCAGCATGGGGGTATCGATAGAGCAGATTATCGAGATACACCCGAACATTGCAGCCCTATGGGACAAGGAAGTGTACACCCACTCGGGAATACTTTCCAAATGGGCGGTTGGTATGACACATGGCGTTTACATGAAAGGTACGTGTGATACAAAACATCACGCTAGTTCATTCTCTTACTAACAATCCATAGGTAACACCTTCTCATGCTTCGGCTCCATGTACCTCTTCTGGTGTCTCATGCGCTGGATGATATCACCGTCCCCCGAAACCTACAACGCCATCCCCGAATGGTTTCGCCCTACACCCAACCAACTTTTTATGCCACACATCAATATTGTCGACTTCATCGTCTGGCCCGCGTTCCGGGAACTCGTTGTTCAGATACCTGCTATGCAGGAGCGCATGGAGTGGATGATGGACTTGAGCATAAATCTCCAATGCGACTGGTCTTTTGCCGTGGGCGAATCGCTCTGTACAAATGAAGAGACGGGGCAGGTGGATTTATGCGATGCGGCAAAGGAAGTCGCAAGGGATTTAGGGAATTGGAGTGTGGGCCCCAGTTTTAGGGGATATGTCAGTAACGCCGATTCGTACGTTAGGATTAGGACGGAGGAATACTGAATAAACATGCGATACGGCCGATACGCACGAAGCGAAGACGTGGCTAAAACACGCCGCGAGGCTACTATCTCAGCCCCGCGGAGCAGCCATCTCAGCCCCGCGGAGGTGCGGACCATAGCAGTTCCTTGGCGCTGCCACGGACGAATGATGGGAGGTCACTTGTTGTTGTTGTTGTTACTAGCGAAGCATATTACACGGAGTTGCATTTCGCGCGAAAATTCTGTCGAGCGAATGATGAGCATTTAGGGCTACCAGCCTGATTACGATCTATGAAGTATATCAGACAAAAATTCCATTCAAGGATCGGGAATATCTACTCTACTCCATGTCTTGGGCTATTCTTCAACTCAGTTGACTGTCGTGGCTTATACTGTCAGTGTTCGATTTGCGTAATGTGGGCAGGAGGGTGGTGAATAACGCAGTCATGCTGACATTGGTTCATGCGCCTGGTTCGGCAGATCGATCCGAAGATGATTCGCGAGATTGACATGTTCAATAGCCCTACTCTTTGTTGAAGTGTCGGTATTCCTTGAGACGACGAGTGTACGCATCACGATGTAGACATACAAAAATACGTCAGAGGAATGTGTCATCATCAGTGTAACGGTGAGCTTCTTGATAAACCGAGTCAATTTGCAAAGACCACTCCACGTCCCATTATATAACCGAGGTCTCAAAAGGATGTGATACGCTAATCATACAAGATTCGTAGCTGTCGTTTGCGCGTCGTGCGTCATAAAACGTAGCTATCATAACGAATTTTGGGATGTAGCGACTAGAAGTAGGTGTCGTGAACGCAACAAAGCAAGCATCTTCCCCCGGTACTTAATACTCCCACCACCGCCCATTAGTCACCATCGTCACGCTGAACAACTTCGCATCATTACCACTGGCCTCTAACCATCATGCTCATACTCATCGTATCAACTGTTTGAGGAACTTCTGGTATGCCACAGGCGGCAAAATCCTGTCAACAATTCTCCAGCATCTCTTGTACAAACCTAGCACTGTAGTCGTACCATGGCCATCGTATCATTAGCTTGACAACAATACGTTAGGATCTCAAATGACCCAAGGTATGACCCCGTCCCTGTGGTACTTGGTGCGGGTCTCCGTGTCCAGCAGCATCTCTTTGATAGCGTTGATCTGCTGCATATCTATCGTTGCATACTCCTTCTCTTGGGGAGCGGCCTTATCCGGGTGGCTTGTGGCGGCTGCCTTGTGATAGGCAAGGTTGATACCGACCGAGCTGACTCTCCAAGTTTTTAGACCGAGCATCTCGTAGGCAAGCATATTGACCGGGGGAAGGAGGTTCGTTGACGAAGAAGCACGGGCGCGGCGAGGACGAAGGGTGCGTGCGGACAGCGGAGGTGGTGGGCCAGAAGGAACTGTCGGCGTAGGAGGAGGTCCAAGCGGTGTCGCGGGAGGAGTTCTGATGTAGGAATCGTGGTTCTCAATGTTCTCCCAGTAGGGGTCGGCGGCCGAGAAGGGGAATGGGATGTCAGGAAGACGAGGAGACGGCGCTGGTGTGGAAGCAGTAGAGAAAGTCATGTTGCTCAACGGAGTGCGCGGAATACCCGTCCTAGACCTTTTCGGGGTGGAGATAGGCCTTGAGGTGTCATTGGCGGTATCTGTGTCAACGAAGATGCTGAAATCTGGCTTGCGCTTCTTGCTCGGCTCCTTGACAACAGGTGACGGAAGAACAGTGGGCCGAATCATCAAGGACCGCGGAACGGCAGAAAGTTGAGAACGAGTATGAGAACTTGTGGTCGCGAGGTTGCTGTCGTTGTCGACGCCTCCGTCTCCAATGAAGGGAAGTGGTGTTGCAACCGCGATCTCGAAGAAATACTTGTCGAAAGAGTCCGCCATCTTGACAAGCTCACTGTAGAGCTATAAACCCCATACGCCTCCAACAAAGCAAAGCAAAAACAGAAAAGAGAAGGATTGTACTAACCTGGAAAACACAGAACAGAACGGATAGGCGAATCGACCCACTATACAAGCGAGGAAATGGCCGAAGAAAGAGTGGATAATCGTGGAAACAGCGACCTTTATAAAGAGTGACGAGAAGCTGAATCTGTTATTCGAAATTGAAGGAAAATTGCAAAAGGATGATAAAATGGAGGGTGACTGCAGCGAAGGTTCAGAATATCCAGGTGAGCACCTAGACACGTGAACCGAGCTTTCGTGGTGAAGCCGAGAAGACGTGCAGAGAACCACAGAACACGAAAAAACGCGTAAAAACGCGCGTGGAAATGTCTGAATCCGTTTGCGTATTCATGAAAAAGAGCTCGGCGCGTCAGCAGCAGTCGTTTATGACGTCCTGGCACTGAAGATGGACCACAGTGCTGTTGCAACCAAGGAGGCTTTGAGGCGCCTGCCGAACTTAATGACTAGAGCCAAGATCCAGAATGAACAGAGAGGACGATCTTTTGCGTGATACAACGGTCTTCCACGTATATTGTGGTAGTCTCTCTGGATATGCTCCTCGCGTGGAAGCAATTCGGTCGATAGACGTTCTGCAGTCAGTATCCCTTGTTCTCAATGTTCTCAATGAGAAGCTCAAGACAATTGCAAACCGCAACCTGGTCTGTAGTCCTTCACTCCGGGTGAGATTATGGCATCGTCTGCGTGACGGTAGTTGTAAGTGGCTCGTCATTCATAGCTTCGCAGACTAGAGAATGGCTACTAAACTGTAGCACCATGAGCACTCCACGCGCAAGGCAGTTTTGTGCGACATGATTGCTTGTCTTCTCAGCAGTCAGGCCGATAGTCTGAGGTGATTCAGGTAGATCGTCGAATGATACAATGTACTGGACATGTAGTATCCGACAGAGTAGTGTAGACTCGGCAGATATAAAGAACAGTAAAACGCTACAGTCTTTTCCTGATTTTGTCTGTCCTACCCTACCATACATAATCTAATGTGGTCAGCAGAACTTAGCTTACCACTGATAGTCCTCTTCGCTAGGCAGACACCTACACTCGTATGGTAGAGTCGATGTTTGATAAACGCAGCTTGCTGATTCTGTATAGGGAACGTTTGAATATTAAGGTAGGGTGGTAGCCAAACGTTGCGTGCGCATCGTAGTGTGATAGGTCGTAAGAAGACATACTATCTTGTGGAGTAAAGTAAAGTTGATAAAAGATCTTAAAATCTACACCCTGTATTTGAAGAGAGTCAATTTAGGTAAGAGAAGTCCTTCGAAGATCCGGTGACTGCGTATCCAAGTGCACAAAGTAAAAGACACGTCCATCGACCAGTAAACGAACACACTTGAAGCATGTGGAGTGGGAGCTGAGAGCGGGTAGAAAGATCAGTGCGATTCTTGTCATCATCTCTCTAAATTTGCGAGGGGATTTTGTTTGCGGTATTCTGTGTTCTCGAAAGTGCGGTGACAATTTCTACATGCGCGGTGTTGAGGAAGGAAGATGTTGTTGATGGAAGATCAGACGAAAGCATTGGCCCATCGGCACGTCGGCTCCGATGGCAGTCGCGTTGAAGTATCACTACACCATGATATGACGACATCACAGACCTCTGCAATTGCATATCGCTACCTACGATCATTCACAATTTGAGTCTGATGTTACCCGATACTCTGCTAATGCCAGGTATTGATGTTGTCACATGCAGCAAGCTGGCGCGGCGCGGGTGCTGATGCGGGGAAGAAGCTACCGCCCAAATGACGAGCCGCAGCGCTCGAGTAAGCGTCAATGAAGCGCTACATCGCCCACAAGCACTGTTCCGTTCTATCGATTGCGTCTCATACAATTCTGTTTATCCTTCAAGGACCACCAAGCAAGCATGAGTCTTGGCCCTGCCCCAACGCGTCTACGCCAGATTGCCCTTGTCGCGAAGGACATTGAACGCGCGAAGCAACTGATTGTAGGGTGATAACCCAGAAGCACATATGTCTAGAACTGACGGAGATATCAGACACAGGTCCTGGGAACAGAAGTCGTCTTTGAAGATCCGGCTGTTGGGCAATGGGGTCTGAAGAACTTCTTGGGTGCGTACACACTCTTTTCCCGGCGACAGCGACTGACACTTGCAGTACCAATCGGCGGCGACTTTATCGAGGTGGTCTCGCCCTTTAAGGAAGGAACGACCGCTGGACGATTACTCGAGAGGCGTGGTGATGGAGGATACATGATAATCATGCAGACCGAAGACGCGAAGAAGCGGCGCGAGCACATTGAGGCAAAGGGACTGTCTAGAGTCATCTTCGAGCATGATCTTGGAGACTCTGTGTGTATTCAGTACCATCCGAGGGGTATCAAGGGTAAGTTCGACACTGGTTGCATACTAGTTGTGGGCCCAGCTCTATTGCTAACGGGCTACTAGGCGGCATCATGCCTGAACTTGATTCCCATGTACCCGGTCCGAAAAACCCCACGCCAATTCAGTCTCGCTTCTCTCCATGGCACGCCTGCGGATCAAACGTCGAGCGTTATACGACTAGCATGAAAAGGACTCAGCACCTTACGCTAGAAGGCTGTGTACTTCGCCTGCAGCCCGGCGACCTTGGTCACGAAGCGGCCGCGCGAGAGTGGGAAGGAATATTCGGCGTCGCTCGGATCCGTGACCTGCTCGCTTTCACAAACGCAAGATTGGGGTTCATCCCAGGGAAAAAAGGGCAATCAGAGGGCCTTGTGTCGATCACGATCGGTGTAAAGGGCAAATCCGAATACGACGCCATCTTGAAAAGAGCTCGTGATGCAGGCCTCTGGAATGACGGGGGGATCGACATGTGTGGTGTGAGATGGCATCTTGCCCTGACAGGCCACGGCGCGTCTCAGGGGAAGCTGTAGCTGCATGCATCATACGAATCACCACTAGAACCTATTTTGTGCTGCTTACTGTACGCTCCAGCATGCGATACGCTTTGACATGGCGCCGCGCGTGCCACGTAGGTCGGGGCGTGCAGGCCAAGATCTCATCGAAACAATCTTGAGATACCAGTAAGCGCCCTCCTCGAATCTGGTAGCCCCGCCGACGTCATCCACCAGGTTGGTTGAATTACCAGCCCTTTGCCACCATGTTCACGAAGGACGCGTCTCGAATGCTGTACATTGTTTCAAACTTCAAAAAATTGCCATGGACGTCAAAGTCAGAAACGCCAGAGTTAGCCGACTTTGAAATCCAGCGGTTGATAGAAATTATGCGACTCACTGCAGCAGAGAAAAATTGGTAAGAAAACCCAACCTTGGGTCGAAAGAGCGTAACATAATAACAAACAGTTGCTTCGGTTTCTCGAGAAATTCGCCACAGTCCTCCGCTGCGCCCAGCTGTCAGTCTCGATAACAGTTGCCTTTTTGCGACCTGTGCGCTAAAGAACACCCCGCCATGACGCTACTCACCTCGCGCTCACGGGGAAAACGCATCGTGGGCCCTCTCAACACTTTTTCCTGGCCTTGATTTGTTCCGCACCGACATTGCGAAATGAACGCTGCAGCGCAGCATACTTCGATGCCTCAGGGTGGATGCCTTGTGCACCGCCTCGACGCTGGAGTGTACTAGTCTGCGTGGCTTACGCTTTTAGTGCGGCCTTTTCATACGGCAATGTCGTGTGACGCCCTGGTTACAATTTTTACAATCGTCGAACTTTTTAGCTTTCTTGCGCAGTTGCGCGCTCATCCCGTCTCTCTCTGCACGATCTATGAGCACTCGGCGTTGGATTGGCCGTTTGGTATGCCTCAAGTTGCAAGGCTATCCTGGTCAGTGTCGAAGCTCCCATAGAGCTACTAGCAATCCTACGCTAGTCTGGCCCTACGACGTTCCCTTTCATCCCATCGGTCCCCGCACGGAGCATATGCTAGCCCTTCCGAGACGAACATACACGCGTGGAGGACGAAGAGGAACTGTTACACAATTTACAGGAGGCGTATCATCATGGTTACTGCTATTGGGTGTATCTGCTCCTGTAGCTTCGCAACACCGTTCCGCACATAAATCCTACCACCCCGACTTTACCTGTCATGGTCCATTCAGCTACCGACGAGCTGCCTCGACGAACTCTCTCCGCAGTGAGACGCGACATACTTCCCTACCACAGAGATCGCCTGACTCCTTGAGCTATAGCGGTATATCTCTTCCCAGCTTCTAGACGACCATACGCGAGGCGGCATATCCATCATGTCGACATCGACGTACCCCAAATATGATTTACAGCCTGCTAGCGTGGAGCACTTCTCTGTGGCCTCCCGGCCTGCGCCTTGGTCGCAAATTAACACTCGTGTAAGGCACCGTAGGTCTCAATACACATTCCATACTTACAGTTCATTCAGCTCGAATACGATGAGTTTGTAGAGTATCGAACCGAAGAACTGTCCCCAGAGAGACATGCACACGTAGCGTACGGCAACAACATTCCATCGCGACCCAAGGAAAGCACCGGTGGCTCCCTGCTACTACGCAATACGCAACCAGACCCTTACACTTCTTTGCCGCGCGCGCCGCCAGTTTTGTCGCCTGCGCCGCCATCCTCAGGTGCTGATGTTGTCCGATGCACACAATGCCACGTTGCCTTTACTGGCGCATATGCAAAAGGCAACCTCGGGCGACATCTCCGGCACAAGCATGCCTTGGTCAGAGAAGTTATATACAGGTGTACGGTTTCTGGATGCGACAAGACATTCGCTCGCAAAGACGCCAAGTTGAAACACGCACGCAAGCACCACCCTGGACTACACTCCGATCCCATCAAGAGAAAGCAAGGCAATGGAGCTGTGATTGTAGGCTCACCACGCAAAGTTAGTGGAGGGTCAACTCCTCGTCGTCGGTCAGATAATAGATCCCCTCGGATCAACCACGGCTCGGAATTGCAAATCGTTGGGCCACAGGCGCGCAAGACTTATGCTACGAAGTCTATATATCCTCGGGGCCAAGATCTTCATCGGATTGATCATACCTACCAGACAGTAAAAGCAGCAATCTCAGCCGATTGTATTGAGCCTCAACCCTCCCAGTTTGCCGACTACAATGGCTTACCAGCTGCTTCTACCGACTGGGAAATATGTTCTTCTCTTCAACACCTGCGACCTCCTTCTACCGAATACAAATATGGACGAACGTCTGCGCCAACGACTTTTACCGGCTATCATAGCTCAACGGGTATGAGTACTCAGCTAAGCAACCAGAGCTTCGACACTTCGCCTTCACCATACTCCAATCCAATACCTACTGGGTCGAGTATAATACACGATATGGAAGAGCCCATTATCCATAGTCCCTTGACATCGCTTTGCTCCCATCGCCCAATAGCTCTACAGTATGAAGCCTCACCCTACACGACACCTCATGATACCCTGCTCAGCCAAGAGTCGTTGCCGGAAGACTATTTTCAGGCCGTACCTAGAAGCGATGCAAGCATTGATCTTTCATATATCGATCCGGTCCTTTTCCAGCAGCCGCTCGAATGGGCCCACTTGCTGGATGAGGATTTAGAGTAACGTAGCTGGAGCAGCAGCTGGTTTGCGTGTTGTACAGTGATAGCCTCGGATCACCCTGTTTCAAATACTTCGATTGGTCTTTGTACATATTGACGTTTAGATACCCCACCTGTAATGTACTCTTACGAGTGATTTGCCAATCATTTGCTACTTATCGATTGATTCTATTGCTTGTCAGTCCCATGGAGTTGGCCCACGTCCAATTTCTGCGCTTAACTCCAGTATCGCATCACTCTCCTTGCACCCTGCCACCGCCTTGTGCGTACCTTTTGTCGCGTCTAGCTAATGCTCGAGTACTGGTTGCCAACTGCCAAAGAAGGAACACCAGCCAAGCGAGCACGACGAATCAGACCATACACACGACATCAATTGCAACTCCCTTCGAAGTCTTGATGACTAGGCAAGGAAGAATCGCTGGCCTGCCTGTTCACCTCCTCAATGTCGTACGTCGTGGTACTACATACCCTGCATGGGTCTGGAATGACCAAAATCTCGGCGCAGAGAGCTCTCCTGTCTGGCTCAGCCTACTCCGAGTCGCCTCCAAACCTGCTCATCATGTTCTAGGCTTGACCATAAATAGTTTAGCAATCCTCGTGTAAATATGTTTCTCACCACCCTGAGAATAATTTGACATGGCCTAAGAGATCGAGCTGCTGGGTAATCACTAGTATGATGGTGCTGAAGTTTGAGCGTTCCATTCGGCTGTTGAGTGTCCTTAGCCGGAGGCATATCGAGACGTAATCAGGCGCAGTCATAGCTTTCCACAGGTACGGGTGTACATGGTTCTGCTTATCGCTGGTGGACAACGAGTGGTCGCAGCTGAGGGTAATATTCGGTCAGTCCATTCGCTAGATGGTGTCTGTAGTAGTACGCCTTATGACATTAGCCGTCTGTTTCTACTACTTGAGCCGGCAGCACATATGAGTATTTGTGATGTAGCTGCCCACTAAGCTGTTCAGCGCCAATATTGACGATTGATTAGTCGGTGAGGACATAGTCTTCGGTAAACTTGGCTGGGTAGCCTCAGAAGCGGCAGGCTTCGCCTTCTCACGTACGAGAAACACACTACTTGCGGTACCGCCAATACCACTGTCTGGGTAGCCTTGTTGAACAGGAGCAATACGTGTGTAGGCACAAAAAGCCATTCTTATAGCTTGTCCAAGCTTGTTTCAGGCAGGCCTTGCAACCGCAAGTATTGTCGAAAAGAGCCAGAGGAGAATTGCTGGGGTTGTCGTGTTTTGTGTGGTGAGTGTAACCCGTACTCAGACCTGATCTTGTAGTTGGCATTGCTGACCTCAACATTCTCCTAATCCTGGCGCTTCCAAGTTATAGCTCATCCAAAGTGGGAAGGATTGCACGACATACACTTTCTCTGCTAGTAAAGGCTAGATATAGCAGGTTGCTATCCCTTCATTAGCCAGTTAATGTACTTCTTCTAGCCTCTCAATAGAATGGAAATACGATAAAGGGCGCTCGATATACTTCCCATCCCCATCATTTGTGGATACAAGAGTTCGGTGAGATGAACTGGGTGTATAGTGCCTCTAGTATGACAGTGAATGCTGGCCGAGCATTCTATGCAGGCTCATCGGGGACACGAGGCATTAAGAAATGCCTGACTTCACCTCAAAAGAGATCCTTGGAGAATATGATCGCCATTATGGGTACCGGGAGGGGTGTGAGTTGGCACCCGGGAACGTACGCTGCACACCTAGGCCGCATAATACAACAATATAACAGCACGTTAGGACAAAATACAACCGAGAGTGTGGTCATGTTATGTAAACCCAGTTCAAAGAATCAAGACATGATAGTCAAAGACCGAAGATACCGAGAGACCCAAAATATCTACTGTGAGTGCCCGCAGCTTGATCTGAGCATGTTATGGAAAACGCAAGAGAGTCAATGAGAGCAAGACAGTATGAAGAGAAGATGAAAATCAGAGGTTCCGATGAACTGTATAGATTGTTAGCAGTGGCGCATATGTTGTGACAACAGGTCGCATCGCAACGCATGTGACCATGGTCATCCAGGGTTGGATCTGCCAAGTCTGCGATACACCGATACGACGACCATCGTATACCCATTAAGCTCTCTAGCCCAAACCCAAATCGTTCATGTTTCCAAAGAAGCATCCCCTCAAGGCCAAATAGCGCCGTGTCAGAATCTACTAGCACCGGAGCCAAAAGTCCAGTCCCAGCCGGCCACATCCGAAGCGTACTGATCGACAAGCGGCCGCGCACTTGCTAGACACCGTCTCGAAACCCAAGATAAACAGAACACGATACCACATCTTTATCTCCACCTCATTCTGCCTGAACAGCGCTGTCGCGAGTTCGTCGGAAGTTCATCGGCCATCTAGTAATCCCTGCCAGCGGACCTAAATGCGAGGACGTGGCTGACCGCCGATCATCGGCGCTAGCGAGCTTCCAGCGCCTTGGCAAGTATGCAGTCGCGTGGCTAGTCAGAGTGGCGGGATACATGCGGGCTGGCTGTGCAAAGATCCTGTTTTGGTGTTGCTTAGGCGTCCCAGTGGTGATGCATTTGATGGTCGCGATCGATTGCGGTGAGCTGTACGACCGATGACGCTGCAAAATCTTGAACGGAAGGTGATACTGGCCCGGGTCTTACAGCAGAGACAAGCAACCGAACGGTCCGAATGAGAAAAATAAGAGAATCTGGTATCACAACAGACGTCGGCATTGCGAACAATATTGATTTGTTGAACTGGATACTCGTATTGGGGTATCATCGCGTCGGAAGACCCAGATCGAAATCGAAAGCGACGGAAGATTGAATCTGGGCGTAAATGACCAAGCCCTAACCGAACCCAAAAAAACATGATAATGATGATACCTCCATCCCAAATGGAAACGCCTTGGTAATGCAACGCTATGCTATGCGATAAGCCTTCCTCTTTCGTCGTAAATATATTATCTTTGCTGGCAAAGCAATTTGGTGCTATTGCAATATGACATTATGCTCTTGTTGGAATACAACACCACTGGTGTTCTGTGCAAAAATCTTTTGTATGGGAAGCGTAATTGCTTGCATGATGTTTTCCCGGAAGTCAATCTTGACATTGCTCTTGTCGAACCAGTAATGGCGGATGAGCTTGCCCTGGCAGTTGCTGACTTCGACACCAGGGAAGCCATTGGCCTCACCACACTCAAGCTCCTTGATGTACTGCTCGTAGTCGTAGCGGATATATTCACCGAAGGCGGATTGCTCGTGGAATCGGGGTTGCTTCCATTGCGAGCAGTTTGCGTATCGGGTGTCGTCGGGGCACTCGTGCCACGCCTTTAGGATCGGCATAGTGTTCTCATTGTTTTGTACAATCATGAAGCCAGTGTTGGTGTAGGTGCGGTTGAAGCGATCCGAGTTGTATTGGGGCTCCTTCTCGCTCCAGGGATCTTTAGCCATGACGAAGGAGTGGTGTGGCTTGATATCCCAGTGGTTGAGCATCCACTCGACAGGAACGTGTAGGAAGCGGAAAGCAGCGTCGGCGTCAAGGAAGACGATGAACTTGTAGTCGTTGATGTAGTTGGCAAGCGCAGAGGGCTTGATCCAGGTCGCATGTCGGTCTTCGAATTCGTGTGCTTGAACAAACTTGTAATCGTATCCATGGACGAGCGCGTACGTGTAGTGGTTGAAAATTCCACCAGAAACGTGGTTGATGTTGCGCCAATCGTATTCACCCTTCTGGTATGCCTCAGAAGACTTTAGATTGCGTGTCTCTAGATCAAGAATCAAGACGTCGCTGCCCATTGTCTTCTTGTAGCGCGGGTTTGGTGGCAAAGAGATATGGCTGCCATTCGGTTCGCGGATGAAGGGCTCGGTTGGCGCAACCTTGAGGTTTTGGTACAGTAACTTGATAACCTCGCCTATGGTTGCGTCAGTTTGCGCGCTGGCTGCTGCCCTGTAGGGTTGTTGTTAGCTCCGCTCCGTGGGAAAAGCATAACTTAAGGCCTTCCGCCTCCGCCACGAGGAAATGACAGCACGTACAAGTTCGAAACTCCCGTCCTATGGGGAAAAGCCATACGGGGAGGGCTCTGCCAAGCCATGAAGGCAAAGATGAATACCAGGACACAACCAGCGCTCACCGAAAGCGCGAGCAACGGGCTCCGACCTCCAGTCGACGGCAACATCATCATGGGCAGCGTAGATCCAGGAACGTGGGCGAGGTCCAAACGAGCGACACGATGGAAGACAGACGAAGATGTCTTGTTGGCGATAGGGGGTGCAGCGTGCTGTGGCAGGGCTTCGGGGGATCAGCACATTTTAAAAGACGAGAGACCCGTCAGCAAGAGCCAAGACGCGCAGGAGGTGGCATGGGGCGCCGGCGAGATTGCGCTTGGCAGGCCCTTCAGCCTTTTGCGGCGTCCCTGCAGCCAGACGGACCCGAGCGAGGATCCACTGGCGGTGCAAAGTGGCTTCTGGATGCCGTCCTAGAACGAATCAGATGCCGGCCCGGCGCTGAGCCGTGAATCATCACGAAGGGTGTTGATGCACGGTTGCTGCCGAGCTGCCAAACGGCTGCCACGGCCTCATCACAGCTCAAGTGGCGGCTCATGTCCTGCTGTGGCTGACAGCGCATAGATAAAGAGTGATGCCATGGGGATTTTCCGGGGAAGAATCATCTTCACAGCTGTTGTGGTACTTGTCAAGCTCGAAGCCTCTTGCAGTGCGGCCAGATGATCGAAGATGGTGGCAAAGGGTCCAAATTGCGGCGACGCTTGGTTGGAAATAGTAATCTCCCCGCCTGACTTACTAGACCCACTCGACATCTCCATCCCGCCTCCTTACATCTGCGCCGCCCCTGATAAGCCTGCGGCTCCTTTACATGCAGAACCACCCCCGCATCCGACACCGTTGTCTGTTGATGGTTGTGATGAAACGGCGTTCATCGCAACGAACGTCGTGTTCCCAGCACGGTGTCACAATATGCGGCTGCGTTCCGATCGTTCCGCTGTTCCCGTGGGCCAAATAACATTTCGTCTTCGTCAGCATTGAAGCAAATAAGCTCGGTGATTACGAGTTGGAATTACGATACATAGTCTTCCGCTCTTGGTCCTGATCATCTCTGCTGGAGATAAAGAACACTTTACTACGTTGCTGCTAGCATGCTATGTAGTACAGTCGAGTACTCAAGCTTCGCATACGCGATACAATGGTGACTCCCGAGGTCCCAATAACTAGCTCCACGGGTGTCCACAACTCAAAACCAACTTCGCAAATATTTTGTGAAATGTAAGATGCGGCGCGATACGTTCAGTACTATCACCATGTTAGTCAGCCACAGGCGATACTCAAGCTCCATGGCAAGAGGTGAATCTGCGCCACTGGCATTTTCTAATCGGAGCACGATGTCCGAATAGACCATGTAGACGTTCCTTCAGTATGAACTGGTTGCTTCCAGGGATTCTGGCACAGTCTCTTCCTGTCTAACAGATCTCCTTCTCCCCTTTCTCTTCTTCCACACCCCCTTTGAAGTATCAAGCAAACTTTCCAACGCGGTCAGGGTCATCCCGACGTCTTTGATGTGAGGAAGTCCGGTACTTAGGACAAAGAAGAGAGTGTTAGAGGACATCGTGATGGCGCCACATGATGTGCATGGTGGCATCGCTGTCGCGGGATCGAGATTACAAACAGGTTTCGTAGTGGGTGAAAGTGGAAAAAGAAAGACATGCGGATTGCAACCGCGTCAACGATCGAATGCTTTTGACAGAGTCATGCATTTGCCCTGCACGTGTACATGGCAAATATCGAAAGCAAACGATGGATTTGATTGACTTACACGTATTCCCGCCCCATGTCACTCCCAGCGCGTTACACTGAAGTTCTGAGTGCAGCTACTATCAGCCGTTTACCTTATCTTCAACTTACGTTACGCCACCATGGCAGCCCCGGAACACTCAGAAACATATGAGCAGTCATCATGCGCCAGCCATAACGGCGACAAAAGTGACAGTCCCAGCCTAAGAAAGAATGACAATCGCCACGGCCTGAACCCCCGCGCATCGCCCTTTACGCCTCAGGCACTGACCAATTCCTCTCCAGCTTATCAATCGCAAGGCAATGGATACCAAACGAACCAGCTCGCCATCCCGTCTGCAGCAGGTGATCTTCGACCATACAAAAACGAAAACTGTGCATCACACGCAAGTGTTCCAGATAACAGCTATCTTACATCTTCCACAAGGAACACCTCAAGGAAAGAATATCCCGCGAGACAGCCTACGATACCACCTACAATTGAGGACCTGGAAAGGGACCCGAAGATAAACTTTGCATGGAAATTGCAACATGATAAGAGTTGAGTATCCCTTTAGGACACACAGAGTCTAGCTACTGTTTGATTGTTATAAGGGTAGAGTCATAACTGAGAGTTCACAGCACGCCCCGTAACTATCCACCATATCTTGCAAAGGCTTACTTACAAAAAACAATACAGCAAGTACCTCTTAGCTGCAGACTCAGACCTGCCATATAAAACTCTTCATAGTTCGTCACCTCTTCTTGCACTCGCATTAGCAGTGACCATTTCCTCATACCTCCTCCTCACCTCCTCACCTCCTCACCTCCTCACCTCCTCAATCTTTTCCTCACGCCGTCTTGTCTTCCTGTTCCTCAATCTAAAACCTTTAAAGTGTTCTATCAAACCATCCGTATGGCTTTTCGCTGCTGATTTTAGACCTGTACAATCGCATCTTGCGAAGCTTCCAAGTTTTCCATTCTCCGGTTTTGATGTCTTAGCCGCAGCTATGACTTCTTTAAAGTCAGCAGTTGCACGTTTGTGAGTAGCTGGTAACTCGTGAAAGGCCTCATCAGGGTCGCGCATGCGGTCGACGATAATAGGTTGTGTATTCCTACGCTGAGATGGCTGAAGCAATGTCTCTTGGGCATTCCCTGATGCATGAACACTGTTGTGCCCTGGAAAGATGGCGGCGTACCGCTGCTCTATCTGAGGCAGTAGTGTCCTACTACTCAAGGGTTGAGTGGTGGTCTCGCGTTTCGGTCTGCTTTGCCGAAATGAGTACGGCATGCTACTCCGCAGCTGAGCCGCTTTTGCGCCACCAGAAAGTCGTTTTCTCCAGTCCGTGATGCATGTGTGTACTACTGCATATTTACCATTGTGTAAATGCCTACCATTTTGTGAATTACCGAGACGAAAGTTGGGGGACATTGGCGGAGACCTGGGCTCGGTGAAAGTCGTTGTGATCTTCAGAGAAGGACGTCTATTGAGATGCAGTTTGTTAGACTTCAAAGTCGGAGGAATGTTACTGTAGAGAGGGGAATTTTCCGGCTTCTTAGGTATACGTAAAGGCGTTGGCATGTCTCCAAGTGTCGCAGCTGCTTCCAACACATCTTGATGTCTTCGTGATACCTTCTTCTCGCTTCCAATTATATCATCCATCAGCACAGCGACAGTATCGCGCTTTGTAGCCCTGGTCTCTGCACTAATCTGTGTAGCCAGCAACGTTCCTTCGCTGGAGTACGGTATGTCGACAAGTTCTGCCGAGTCATCGATTATCATGTTCCGGCTTCTACGTCTCCCGTCTATCAGTCGTTCAGCATCCATTCTTTCTCCAAAATGTCCAAAGACTTCTTAGCTTCTTCTTTCACTGGCGTCGCATCGGAAGCGATCCTGAGCGGCTCATCTTTCGGTGGAACTGGTGGAGCAAATAAACTACGAGCTACATGATTCATCGCTATGTTGTGCTTGACGTTGCGATTGTGGATTTTTATAGCCGCAGACTCAGATTTGCGCCTTGCTTGGGAGTGAAAGAAAGGGTTCTTCGGTAGTGACATGGCTTTCTAGTGCCGAAAGCCGCTAAGCTCAAGGATGCTTCGTATACAGATCACGCCTCAATCATGCGCCGCGTCACTGACCGCCGAAAGCATCAATGTGAGCAGCGAAACAAGAACGACAAGTGAATAATCGACATTACTATTGTAAACTCCTAGGAGTCATCGGCGTTGACTCAGTCATGATGACATGGATATAGCCGGCGAAAAAGGGATGGTCTTTGTGACCTCTAAGAACTAAACTTCTGTCTTGCGTGAAATCTCAGCATTACCGGTCAGAGTATTGCCTTTCCTTGGTTGATAGTTTACATATAAAAAAAGTCTTTACAGAAGCGTTTGACGTCCAGAGGCGCTGAATTTCGCTGTGCGCTGAGAGGGTCCAGACAAACCTCAAAATCCAAAACCCCCAGTACCATGTGATTTCACATACCACATCCGTGGCTAGTATGCGAAAAATGAACACAACAGTTATCACCCTTACATTAGATGACTAAGATTGTGTTGACGCAAGAGCAAGTCAGGTGCAAAGTTAGTCATGTATGACATGTCGATGTCATTCGCCATGTGCTGAGCCATATCCTCCATGTTCCCCATGATTGCATCCATCTCGTCTTGCGATACTTCTTCTATTTCGTCATCGTTATCTTCATCGAGTTCCATATCAGGCTGAGCCTGTGATTCCTCCTCGGCCGCCTGCGTCGAAGCCTCCCACTCTTCAATGTCAATACCAGCGAAGAACGAACTCTCGTTTGTGTCTTCTTTTGATTCTTCGTTGTCGGCAGTGTTGTCTGAGCCGAGATCGAACGACGTGACAGAAAACATGTCTAAATCTTGGAATGCCGAACAGACAGAGGTTGGAAGAGAACTTGGCGTACTAGGGGTGGAGTCATCGCCGCGGGAGTATGACTTGGCAATGACCTCGTCATCAACCCCTAGCTTGACCAGATGAGAGCTTGCAAGAAAGCCAGTGAGAAACCTTTCTAAGACAGACGGATTCATAACACGCTTCTCTCCAGCGACAAATTGGAGTTGGTTGCCGTATTGAGCATGGAGGGCTTGGCCAATACCGGGGGCAAACCAGACGCCGTGAAGCTCGAGGCGGATGACATCTGCAACATCGGCGTCGAGCAATCTTCGTAAGGCTAGCGTGATCGGGTGTTGCGCATATAAGATGGAGTCGTCTACACACGAATTGGCCAGCTTTGACAGTGACGAATCAATGCGGATGTAAAGATCCTCAAACTTCGCACCTGTGATAGCGAGGGACGCGATGGTGTTAGCCATGTTTCGTTCCCTTTCTGAATTCGCTCCTGAGATTGTAGCATATACGGCGAGACGACGGAGGTACCGTATCCACTTATCAGCAATAGGAGGAAGGATGGTAGCGCTGTCATTTGGAGGTGATGCGGCGGTGATGGCGAACGCGTTGCGCTGGTGAAAATATGATGCCGACTCTTGACCAATTTGCTTCGAGGCGCCAAAGAGTGCTGACACAGCAGGTGTTTGCTGAGGATGGCATCTGTCAAAGAGCTGTCCATAGATCGTGTTGCGCACCTCTGCCGGCAAGTCGTTGAACGTTTTCATGGTGCCTAGAGGGAGTTCGTATATCTGTCGTGGTTGGTCAAGGATTTTGTGAGACGAACGTAATTGGAATGGTGAGTGGTGATGTCCTTTGACAGTACTTCCTGTTTCAGGTGGCGTGTTGTGGGGTCGGGTCAACCAGCGCAGGACAGAGGTGAAAGCATGCACTAGTATCGGGAACACTAAAGTCGTCGATGTACAACGCTGTGCCGAACGGGTAAAGTTGCTGAAGTATAGTGCTGTGACGAAAGAGCAAGTTGACTGTTGTCCTCGTAAGATGCAGTCGTAGTAGACGTGGCGGCGTGGGAGTTGAGCGGGCTTTGAGTGCGTGTAGTAACAGTGGTGCGATGAGAGTGGGTTCGAGGAGACTGTGCAACAGGCCCAGCTGGTATGCGGCTTCCGAAGAATGATCGACGCTAGCGCGCACACGTGAATGGCTGAAGGTCTGGCGGCCGCACAAAGCATTCAAGGGCAGGAGTACTCGCTAAGCCACGTTTACCATGGAACTGGCCCTTATATGTACCCCTCAACCATAGGTGATGACTCCGCTTTCCCGCTCATGCCAGTACAGTCTCATATTGCAGCTGCCTGATAGGATGTACCGTATGCCCCCTGTCCTATCCTGGACCACACCTATGGAGTTGATGGGGGCTTGACCATCTCGTTTGGCCTGAGGTAGACGTCAGCTCTACCTCACCCTGAAACTATACGCTGTGATCGGAATTAATATACTGCAAATGCTAACATGGCGTATAGCACTTCGGTGGGATTTAAGTACTCTCTGCGACTTGTTTAGATCAAGTATGTTTGTGCAGCAAACGTCATCGCCTCAGGCAGAAGTTTCGCACACTACCAGCGTCGTATAATGCGCCAATCGAAATGCGGAACTCGGTGGACACGCACAAGGAGCATAGCACAGCCGCCGTTCTGATGCAAGTTGCCCCGTCCCGAGGCTTCCTCGCTCTTTTCCGCTACCTAGATGGACCGTCCAACATGGTGCGCTCCATAAAATATCTATCGCAGCTTGATGATTTCAACCTCAGCTCTCTGCATGTATACTTGAGGTTGTGGGTAACCTATCCTCTATCGAGTCGGTGCACACCCATCGCACATGCCGCACGATCCTCCGAGGCCGACTTATCGCATCATCGAGGGATGGGCTTCCACCTACTCGAAGACAGATATCCTGTCTGAATCTGTGCTAGAGCTTTTTGTACGGATCGGTTGCATCAGCGGCGAGCGAGGTAGGGGTCGATCATGTGTTCACGCGTTGGATCTGAGTGATTGTATCGGGGATACAAACGTGACGCACGCGTGTCACCAAATCAGAATTCGTGAGGTGCACGCAGACGTCTGACGAGAGAGGAAACAGGCAGCGTCGGCAATTGGACAGATCACGATGGGCAGATAGAAGAAAGAAGGCAACTATGGCACGCGTCGTGGGGTGACGTTTCCTGGGTCATGGAGGTGTGTTGTTCCGGCGCTAGCTAATCGATAAGCGTCCACGTGACTGATTTTCTTCTCCAAGGTTGTCCATGGGGTGCTTTCACACATGTCTCGATATGCACCTGCCGATTCACAGCTCTTGATACGTTGATCATGTCCTATGACTCAACACATCACATTCACTCAAGCTTGCCAAGCCCTCTGCATGCCACTTTCCATGTGACTCATGTTTCGTCTCCCTCGACCATGCGAATGACTGGGTCGCAAGCGTGTTGTGAGGCGCATCATTATCAGGACACGGTCGCCCCTGATACGTCACATCTGGACACGATTCCAGGAATTTCGCGATCTAGTGGTATGATTTGGAGGGTGGAGAGCTTGTTGCCCGGTCCACAGGTCTCACAAGAGCAGCTTTCAGCTTTAGCATGCGCCAACTCCGTACAGCCAGCAGCCTTCACATGTATATGATGATTCAGCATCCCAATATGTTGCTATCTTGCTCGGGAGACTCGGAAAGACGTTATAAACTTAGTCAGAAGTCCATAACACATTCATTTTCGCGTCGAAGGGTACGGATAAGGTGGTACACCCGTGTTTGCACGAGAACCAGTTATAGAAATGCAGATCCCAAACGATGCATCCGCATCGAGCCAGAACGTATACTAGAGAACGTTGGAACCACAAACGAGTCAAACACGTAGGACCAGGACGGTAACGCATACCACGCTGACGCCCGATCAGTTCACTATGACAGGCGATGTCGACCAGCCAAAATGTACACCAAGAGACTCTTTTCAATTACGATGCACCCTAGGTATACTACGCTTCTCAGGTATACAACATACTTTGTGTTCCAGTACGTTGATGTGAAATACTGTGTGTACCTTTAGCGTAGACATAGGTGTCAGGTACAATCTGACGAAGATCAGCTCCTTCGTATGTCTCCATACTACTCCTGCACAAGTGCATAAATCGTGGCAGCTGTCAACAGTCCTCGTTTGCGACTGCAATTTACTAGTGAACACCTCAGAGTCCAGGCACGCACCGCGCTAGTGGTGGCGGAACATATCCCACCTTTGGAATCTTGCGGTATAGAAATATGAGCCTCTGATCCAATTCTCATCCTGTCGTCCACTTACAGAATTGACCCAACAGGTCATATTCTAACACCTCACTTCTCGACTCAACACTTACCCAGCAGATTGACTTCTAAGTCGGCTCCCAGTCATGCATCTTCCGACTGCCCTTGCCGCCTTCATTGTCACCACTGCCCTTGCAGCCCCAACATCTATCAACGCCACCTCAAATTCCACTCTCGCCGTTGCGAACGACAACTTGGGGATTCTTGGGTGCTTCCCGTGCTTTGTCTACTACCTCAAGTGCCGCCAGGTAAGTGGCATCCAAGCTCGACCATCATAATTTCTATTCTAATTGACTTTTTAGACATAAGCTAGCGACGAGATCTGCCGATGTTTGACATCTCCTCAATACAAAGGTCGTTGTAGAACCGATTTCTGTGGATATAAGGACTGCTAAAGGCAAGTGATGGTGGAGAGTATGATCAATATAGGACCTCGGAATTGAGTGCGTGGGTGCACCGATTGGAGGAAACTGATGATGTCAAGTTTGATGGATGCTTGGGATTAGGTACCTCAGTGTGGTCGCTGTAGGAATTAATGCAATGTATACCTAGTGATGCCTACTATAAGACACCGACGAACAGTTCATATGCAAAGCGCTGTTGCTCAAAGAGTGATGCGGCGCTTCATATTGGCGCACATTGATCTTTGAATCAAAGAATGAACTTCTTTAGAAGATTGGCAAGTTTCTCTGGCTGTTCAAGTGCTAGGCTATGCCCACACTCCTCAAAAACCTCCGCAATATGCACTTTCTCGACAGCAGACTGTATCTGCTCTTTGACAAGCGGCCCGAAGAACCTAGATCCCGTTAGCCGCCTCCGCAAACCATGCACTATCATAAACTTACTCAGGGGCTCCCACGGTCATAACGTTACATTTCAACTTCTCCTTGCTCAATATCTCTTCTTCAACGTCTACATTGACCCAATGCGCCCGATAACTCTCCAAGACACCCCTCAGCCCGCCAGGTGCCTTCAAACACCTCACCCACTCATTGACGGCTACCTGATCCAATGCACTAGGATTATAGCACTCTGCCTTCATAAAATGTGTCCAAAACTCTTCCTCCTTCCCTTGGATCAACATCTCCGGTACATGCGGCAGCCAGAAGAAGGGGATATGCCAGTTCCAAACACCACTTTGATTGTACTGAGCAGCAATGTTCTTGCGTGTGAAGAACGTTTGCTTGGTAAGGGCGTAGGAAAGCAGCATCTCGCAGAAAGAAAGATGGGTTACCCGCTCGGGATAAAGTCCTGCAAGACAGAAGGCATACGTTGCGCCCCGATCCTCGCCATGGACAGCAAACTTTCCGTGCCCTAGTTGGTGCATCAATTCGGCCATGTCTGTCGCGTTTGTCCGACCATCGTAACCTTCGCTGGCAGGCGGTTTGTCAGTTGCACCGAATCCACGGAGATCTGGGGCGACGATTGTGAACTTTTTCGTCAACAAAGGCACGATGCGATACCAGTAGTAATGTGTTTTAGGTGTGCCGTGTAGTAGGAGTAGAGGTGGTCCCGATCCGGATGTGATGTAATGTAAGCGGATGCCATTTACCCGCGCCATGTGATGGCGAACGGGCTTGCCCTCGTGGTCTTGTATTTCAGGCATCTTTGATGTATGTAGTCGCTGCAGCAGGAGTCTTGGTGATTACTGGCAGGATCTGTAACACGTTGAAGTGTTTCAGTATTACCTAGGCATGGTGGCATTCAGTGAGGTAGCGCTACCCCACATTTCGACGTCATTGGTGACCGACAAGTAAGCGGAGACATTTCCGCACTTGACACATCCACAGCATTGCTTTTTCTCTTGTCGTGGGTATCGCTAGTTGAAATAATGGAACATTGACAAGTTGTACAGCTGCAAGGTCACGGGACAGCACTGTCGTTCGCCCGTATGATGATTGAGGGCCTCACTGTATCGATTGTGATAGTTTTCGATTCTTCGCCTAATTTAGCCTGGAGAGTTTCGATAGGTTCTATCTCTTTTTCTTCCATGTTCTACAACCTCATGAGTCCGGAATGGCAGCGATAGCCTCAACCTCGATCAAAAAGTTGCCCGGCAACTTGCCAACCTCAACAGCGGTACGTGCAGGCTTCGGACTTGGTAGCATAGCAGCATAGACCTCGTTCATAGCTGTGTAGTCTGACATGTTGGCAAGAAAAACAGTAGTCTTCATGACATAGTCCCATGATGTGCCAGCTTCCTCGAGGATAACGGCAATGTTCTTGATGACTTGAGCCTGGCTTGGGTGAGTATGACATGAGGAGCTGAGCAGAGAGTTGATTTGTGTACCGTTTGAGCTTCAATACCGCCTGATACAATCGTTCCATTGAACGAAGGGACGGTTCCCGAGGTGTAGACTATGCCCTTAGATGTCCATGCACCGCTTGCTTGACAATTATCAGATTCTGTTTAGGTGAAATAGCCTGCACGACATACAAAGAATAGGTCCTTGGGTACCAAGATAGGTTACCACCGGCTGTTCAGCGAGCTTTGGCGTTGGCGTGGCGATTGCAGCACCAGCAACTGCGAGAAAAGTGGTAACGAGAGCCGTGAAGGATACCATGATGTGATCGGACTACAGCACGTGGAGTTTGGAGAAACGTAGACGTCAAGAGCTGAATATTATGGTATGAGTACTTCAATCACCTTCGGTTTGTCTATGGTTTTATAAGCGTCGCCAACATTGGCGGATCATCAGTTCCCAACTCTTTCGTGTTCGGTCAAGTTCATCGTCCGCATTGTACCGACCGCCATGACTTCCAAGAGCTGCGAGTATCCATGCACCAGGTAAGGCTTGCTGCCAATGTCGTTCCAAAATGCAGTCAATACTGTTGGAATACAGCCACGGTTGATGTCCCACGATACAGTCAGACCTGTTTGTAATCATTTTTGAATCCGCCGCCGGCTCCAAGGTACCGGAATGTCCACCAGGAACAATATTACCTACACTACACCCAAGGTGGCAGCATTTCGCCCAACCATTTCGGCTGTGATCGTGGGGTTACAGAATCCGCAGATATCCAGAATGCACTAGAAAAGGAAGGAGGATAGCATGCGAGGTCTTGTGGAGCAGAGCGACTTAAACTATCGCAAGAAGGGCCGTAGGAGATGTAGCTCGCCTGGGCGCCGAGATATCTTCGCATTTATACTGTGCGTTTAACGCGTGCATTGCGAAGCGCGCTCTTGTCCTGACGTAACGTGAGATAAAGGCTGCATGGATTCGAGATAAGAGTCGGGATTTAGGCTAGCCGTCGTGTGTCTGCGTTATCGCAATCGCAGAGCTCCACCTGGGGTTACCATGGCTTGCCGCTGGCCACCTTATTTGCCGAGAGGATCCAGACCCCTGTCCGAACTTTTATACGGTAAAGCAACAAGCCTTATCCTCCGAGTTCTTGATACTGCTCCCGGACAAGACTCCATGCCACGTTCTGTCGAACCGCATGCCCGACTCATGCTTCTGGGTTAGCCCCACTTAAAAAAATCGACGTAGTGTAGGGTCGCGTCCAAGGTAGAATGCAATACTCCAAATACGCTTCTTGTGTGCATGAGCAGCATGAAACATGGCCACCTACGCAGGTATGCTCTATTCCAAGTATATTCTCTTTATGCGTATCGAATGTGAATCCTTCTCTTTGCGGAGATGTGAAAGCGATTGTTGCCTCCGACACCAACAAGGACCACAGTGGATCGTCCAAGGTACAGTAACATCGTAAAGTCGCATACGAGACTACTGGTGTCGGTGCCGATACAACTCGGAATGATGGTCATGGCTGAGCCGGGATGCTTTTTTATCCGATGTTTGTTATCTTTCCGTTGGTAAAGAAACCTCACTCCGCAACGCCGATCTCTTCCGCAAGCTGAATCTCCACACTATCACCCGTCATACGGTGCGCTACTGCACTTCGCTTCGAGGCATACTGCGGGTCAACTGTAACGGGGATTTGGACGCGACACGACCCCATCTTACGAGAATATTTGTCGAAGTCGCGCATAGCTACGCCTTACAGCAATGCTCTTATCGCGGCCGAATGCATAGACGTCCTGTCCTGTCAGCGGCGGACGGGCCGTCGCAACGACATGATCCGAGGACCACAGCCACGCCCTACGACGACACGGACGATAAGGTTTGGTGACCAACGAGAATCGAAAAAAAGTTGTAAGCCTGTAAGGCATTGCTCGCCGTGGTGTCGAACGAGGTCGGTATTTGAGTAGACGATGTTTCCCTTCTCTTCAAGTTACTATCCTCATCACATTCACCCCTTTCTTACGCCAAGATGAAGGGTCTTCTAACAGCCTCATCGGCTGCCCTCTCTCTAGCTGGTGGTGCTGTTTCCAGCCCAGTCACCCCTCGATCAGACCTCCTCTTCTTCAAGCCCCTGACGGTTACATCGAACTCGGTACACAACGTCCATGTCGGCTACGGAGAAGATGACTTCGAGGGTGAGGTCCGCCTGGTATATGGCGATTGCGACATGAAGAGCCATACGGATGGCCATCATGATGTGGCATCGCACTACATCAAGCGATCAGGCCGTCCCGAGCGATTTGTCTGGATCGTACCGGACGACGCCGTTCACGGCGGATGTTTACATGCTTACTCGGGGTCCGCATTGATCGGTCGCTCAGCGCCTGTCAGAATCCACCATCCACCAAAGAAGCGGGAAGAGATCTCAGACATAGCCGATGCGATGGGTCCTTGGTTCGACGGTGTTGCATACATGCAGGCAAAGCAGAACAATGCCTCATACGTCGCGGTTGAGAAGAGCAAAAAGATCGCCATCATCGGAGGAGGTATGTCTGGCTTGATGACAAGTCTTCTCCTCGATTCGGTAGGCATCCACGACTGGCACATCACCGAGTCATCACAACGTATCGGTGGACGTATTCGAACGAAATACCTTGCCGGCAGCACACCTGAGCAATATCAGTATCAGGAGATGGGCCCTATGCGATTTCCAGTCTCAACCACTTACCCAGACACGAACGAGACATTAGAGATTCAGGACCACAAGATGGTTTTCCAGCTCGGTGATGTCCTCAACCAAATGAATGGAGGCAACACCAGCAGCCTTGCTGTCAACTTCATCCCCTGGATCCAATCAAGCCCAAATGTGCCCGGCAACTCGAATGGATTCCGTCTGCCTAACGGACGCATTCCTAGCGCAACTCAGATCAAGAACAACGCGACGGCCTACACGCTGCCTGCGGCTGAAGGCCCGGACGAGGAGACTGTGGAGCACGTTGAAGAAGCGCTTGATGACTTCATTGGGTACGATCGGGAGGCCGCACGCGAAATTTATGCCAACGTCTACAAAGCTCACAAGAACGCTGTAGAGAAAGGCTTGTTCCATTGGTCTGAGGCAGCATACATGAAGTATGCGCTCAACGCAAGCGACAATGTCGTCGACTACGTTACTGGCCTCGAAAACGCACCAATTTGGGAATACGAGACGGCATACTTCAGCGCCACGACTTGGCGAACGATCGACAAGGGTCTTGAGTCGCTTCCTCGCGCCTTCTACCCTCATGTTCGGGACCGTCTGACGCTGGGCCGCAAGGTGACTGGCCTCAAGCACGATGAGAGCACCGGCAAGATTGCGGTGCAATGGCGCCAGGATCCTCTTGCAATGGAGCCGGAGAGCGAGGAGTACGACTATGCGGTCGTCGCGGTACCGTTCTCGAAAGTTAGACTCTGGGATCTTCCTGAGTATTCTTCACTCTTGTCGCGTGCCATCAGCGAGATGAACTACTCGCCGTCATGCAAGGTCTCTCTACACTACAAGACACGTTTCTGGGAGAAGCTTTCACCACCCATCATCGGTGGCTGCGGCTCAGTCGATATTGCAGGTATCGGCAGCGTCTGTTACCCTGCGTACAAGATCAACTCAACCGGCCCCGGCGTCATCCTAGGATCGTACGTTTCCGGTACCCTAGCTCGCTCAGTTGGTGCGCTCAGCACAACTGACCACGTGGCCATGGTCCAGCGGGCGATGATAGAGGTCCATGGTGAGGTGGCTGCGGAGCAGTGGACTGGTGCATACGAGCGCCAGTGCTGGGAGTTCGATGAGCACCAGGCTGGTGCGTGGGCATCCCCATTCGTTGGCCAGCAAGATCTGTTCCTGCCTGCCTACTACAAGACCGAGCACCAGTCCATCTTCATCGGAGAGCACACAAGTTACACACACGCTTGGATCTTCTCAGCGCTCGACTCGGCCGTGCGCGGCACTTCCCAATTGCTGTTAGATATGGGTCTGGTCGATGAGGCGAAGCAGATCGTGGATACGTGGATGGGAAGGTGGATATCCATCTAAGTGGAACAAAGACAAAAGAAAACAAAAGCTAGATGAATACCATAGCAATGAATAATGTCTGATCGATACGCCAAAGAGTTGCAATAACGATGAGCTAGTAACCGTTGAAAAGATGCCACCTAAGTGGTGTAGAAGAGATGAATAGTGTGCGATCCCCCTGTGATGGCGTCATGGCTTAGCGTGCCCAAGGTTTTGAAACCGAGGCTCTCACGCCAGGGTCCAGCCACCTCATTAATTCATATCTGATTCATTATATATGAACTTTGGAACCTGGATGGCTTCGGATCGTCATCTGCAGAAACGGAACTTCGCCTTGTCTTATTTGTCACGGAGGTGACATGCTCCGCGCACCAACCTCATCGCTATCTACTGTTTTCTCCTGAGCATCTCGAGTGCATTGTCGCACACACCACTTGTGTTCTTCTACTGCCACCCAACACACAAGCGCCTTCTATGCCGACACCGTCTCCGACTTCGCAATGCCATTCTTTCCATGTCCAATGGCAACAACCTTTTTCTCCGCCAAAGCTTCCGTTCTAGATCGGCTGTTTGGATCGAAGTAGGGAGCCTCTCCAATACCTACTGCTCGGTTACCAAAGCGTTCACCAAGATCATCATAATCGAAAGTTGCGCTGTGGAAGGCACTGCGGTTGTCCCAGATAGCTAGAACTGGTAAGTAAGAGCTTTACGAAAAGTCAAGAGTTGCCACGGGCGCCTACCGATATCGTTCTTGTTCCTCCACTTTAAGCGGACTTGGAGGTCGTGATTCTCTGTTATCACAGACCGGAACTTCTTCAACAATTCTGCCGATTCTTCTTCATGAAGCTCGTTGATGTACCTGGGGAACGGACCAAGAGCAAAGATGCTCTTCCATCCCGTCACAGGATTTGTGCGCACTACTGGATGTACAGCACTTAACGATCTCCCAACGTTCTTTGGACTACCCCGTTCTTTCTCGTAGATTTTGACTTTCTCTGGGTTTGCATCAGCGGCTCGAATGAAGCCGTCCCCGACGAAGGTTGCAGTTAAACCCTCGAAGAAAGTCTGGTAAGCTTTAGAGAAGCGGTCATAGATTTCATATCCAGAAGCCCAGAGTGTGTCGCCTCCCGTCTCTGGTAGTTCTGTCAGGCGGAGTGAGGTATAGTCAGCCGGAACTGGCTCAAACTGGATGTCCGAATGCCACTGCGCAGCGTCGTAGCGACGTGAACCACTCGGCCGACGATGGTCCTCATGTTTGAAGATGTTTTTACGACCGAGGGAGCTGATTGTGCTTATTTGCGCATCGTCCACACCGAATTCAGAAGTGTTGTTCAAAATTGGATGAATATGCAGAGTGGAGTCAGCAGGCTTTCCCGTCAGCTGGCCCAGGCGATGAACAAGGCTTTTTTGTAAGTCGTTGGTGAGGTTGTCTTGAGCTCGGAAGAAGACAACTCCACGTTCAGAGACTAGTTTCGGGTCAGACCGCTATTCGTCAAGGATAGACGGGTATAAGAGACTTACTTGTAATTGCAAGATCTCGAATGAGGTCGTCGGCGTTAGAAGCGTTCAGGATGTCTTCGACGATGTTAACATTAGGATACTCTCGACCGATGACAGGGGTCGTTTCTTCAAACTTGAAGCCGGCATCAAGTGCACCTGTCTTGGTCTGTGGCGCAGGATACTCTTGCTTCGTTGGCGCCGTCATATTTGCTTTACTGGATAGAAAGTTTGAATTCCTTTGGTTGCGAGTATGCTAGGGAGAAGAGAGACTCATATATCGATTCAACCCATGTCATGTATGAGTCTCGCTCGAGGTGGGGTCAGATCACGCAATGTGCGTACCGAGCACGCAAATCGGATCGTTGAATGTCGTCAACCTATCCCTACACTCCTTCAGGTGGGATATCTGGTCTTTATCTAGATAAGTAGACCAAGGTCTCGTACGAACCGACGTTTCGAGGTGTTAGAAGGTGCAATGTCCCCGCCGGCTGCTACTTTCTAAGATTGAGCTAGCAAAGGCATACGATCCTAGACTTGGAATAGTGTCTCTTACGAACGAGTGGTTGAGCTGTCAATACATGCGCATGGGGCGGCATGAAGCCCCGTCAGCATTACGCGAAGCAACCATAGAAGTAATCTAGTATTGGGGGGTCGGTTATCGGGCGGAGCAAGACTCCGCACGACGGACCAGCTGTATTTTAACCCAAGAAGGATCGTATCACCGGCAGACCAGATCTTTGAGCGAAGCCTTCTGACTTATCCGGCTTGTCAGTCACATCAGTATGAGTACACTCCCAAGGATGAGTGGCAGTGTCCTCACGTGATCGCGCGTTGAATTACCCCGCAGTCCTAAGTCGTGACACGCTTACTGATAACCACTATACCTAAGTTTTGCGACATGAGGATACTCAGAATCTCTATCGTGCTTCGCATACACTTCGAGCAATTTGCAAGACATCTGTCTGTGACCCTGTGGGAGAGCTTACCATTATTTGGCGGGTCTCTCTTTTACTGCGCTTATGAAGACGAACCGGTTGGTGACTTCGCAGGAGAACGGGTTACAACATTAGAGGTTTTATCCCCAATCAAACTCACTTCTTGTATCAACATGAGGTCTGAAGAATGTATACTGCCGCTTAAGGAATGACCTACATAACGTTGTGGAGGGTTGGAGCAAGACCGCGTCGTCGCTTGGGAGTCTGGTAGAGACTGAATTCCGATCGCTATCAACACCCGGCTCCGGTACTTGAGTCATGTTGCTCTGCTTTTTGGGAGTTTTGCATGATAGTACAGGTAGGTAGAGGCGAAGAACTTGGCATACTCCATGGCATCTTTGAAAAGCTTCCTTCTCTTGTTTGTCGTGTTCCATAGATCTTCCTTAAGTGAGCGGACAGCCGCAGAAGAAAGGAGTTGGTGCTCGTAGCTTGCGTTTTCTCCCCGCTACACTCTCATGCGATCGTGCGTTCGATGAATAGATCATCGACGTTTTGCTCAGTGTCCGACTTCCAAGGTGGAGGTGAAGTTGTCACGCTGTCGGTGGTCTGGTAGTGTCGGCGTCTACGGCGCGTGATCGCCAATATCGCCGACAGGGGATTTAGTGACTCAAAAGGTATATATGAAAGATACTCACCTACACCCGCAACGATACGTATCGCATCACAAATCGAAGGACAAGATGGAAAACAAAACATTTGAATGGACGCGCACGGTCGACTCGACTACGTACCTCATATCCTCCGATCGATCGCTCCTTCCGCACCTTTTCGTCCAGGAAGCTTTCGCTACAGACGCAATGTTCTGGGCAAAACCGCTCCCTTTCACAGCGCTGTCAACGATGCTTGATAACAGTCTCACCCTCGGTCTCTACACCGTCTCGAACGATATCAAAACGCCGATTGGGATGGGGCGCATGGTTACCGACTACACGACGCTTGCTTACCTCACCGACGTCTACATCTTGCCCCAACATCAAGGCCATGGAATCGGCAAATGGCTGATTGCATGTTGTCGCGAGATCTGCGTCGGCATGGAAAATCTCCGATGGATGGTGCTCTTGACCGGCAGTGAGCAAGCGCAAGCGCTGTACAGGAGGGAGTTGGGCATGACAAAGCTCGACGGGGTGGAGGAGGGGTTGGTTTGTATGGGGTCACGCAGGGCAAAACTCACCGAGGCCGCTCCAGGCTCAGCATAACGGGACCTACCGGCTTCCGCCTACGCGCGTATGTAGTTCCCTACCTTAAGCATGGACGACTTTCTCCCACGATCAGACGCTACAGTGACAGAAACGTGGTTTGATGGTTGGCCTCGATTGATGACAACGGCTATTTTCGCTTCCGGACTAGTCTCGGGTCCATGCTGCATGCATGTCATCGCGTTAGCGCTAATATCGCCATCCTTTTTTCTTTATCAACATAGACTACTACAACAAGGGTCTGGTTCGCGCCCTCGGCCTTCTGGTGTCTTCCGAGAATACAGACGAGGGCTGAATCCTGTTTCGAGGCCGGCATGCGACGAATTACCTTTACGGAGGTGCGGTTGGCCTGTAGCTAGAACTCCGTCTGGTGTTGGTGTCGCATCGAGATGCTACTCCAAGTGTATTACGCCTACTAAACTAGGATTCGTCTCCGATGCTGCCCGAGGAAGACTAATCTAGATCGCATATGTGTAGACCTGTCGCATAGATCGCCAGGGACTTGTTGATATACCAGTCGACCTTGCGTCCACGTTCGCCGATCTCCCACAATTCACACCAACATGACCGCGACATTTGATACCACTCCACTATCACACACATCTCCCCCACCAGCCTCGCTGAAGAGAAAACGAGCAGATTCAGATACACAGCCACTTACCCCGCCGCTAGCCGCAAACGATCCAGAAGGATCGCGTCTTCTTTCGCGCGCTGTCAACGTGCTCTCGACCGCTGCTACCGCCCTGTCGCAAGTAACCTTCTTGTACGAGTCAGACCATGTGGCGCGCGATGGTCTTCTACGCGCTGTCGAGGTTTTAACAAAGGTTAACCAGACCGGCGGCAAGCTCATAATATGCGGAGTTGGAAAGAGTGGCTTAGTGGGGCGCAAGATGGTTGCGACCATGAAGAGCCTGGGTATAGCGAGCTCCTTTATGCATGCTGCTGAGGCACTGCATGGGGATCTCGGTGACATCAGGAAGGTGAGTCGTCATTTTGATGCCTATGCAACAAGGAACATACTGACGGAGAACAGAATGATGCAATCATGTTCATATCCTACTCTGGCAAGACAGCGGAGCTCATGGCCCTCCTCGAGCACATACCTTCCCACACGCCTATCCTCGCCATCACATCACATACGAAACCCTCAGAATGTCCTCTCCTCGACGATCGACCGAATTCCATACTGCTGCCCGCGCCCATACACGAGCTAGAGGAGGTCTCCTTTGGCGTCTGCGCGCCAACAACGAGTACGACTGTCACAATTGCAGTGGGCGATATGCTGGCATTGACTGTTGCAGAGGCACTGCATCAAGACGAGACAAAGACTGTGTTTAGGACGAACCACCCTGGCGGTGCGATTGGAGCAAAGTCACGAAGGATAGAAAGGCAGGAGGAAGATACCCCGGCGGAGGAATGCGATGGGCTGGTCACGCCGCCAGCAACCTGATTACGAATAGGAGGATATCAGGTAAGAATTTTGATACATGTATAGATTACATACATGCACGAGGAACGGGGAGCATATTTTTTAGTGTGCACAGAGGGCAGTTTCCTCACGTTCTTCACTCGACATTCGGCTTTACTCAAACATACCTTGTGATGCTTCACGTCACGTTACAGGCAGAACGAAGATGATGTCGCTACCCTGTGAAGGGTAGTACGATAACGGGCTCCCTGACGCGAGCTTCATTTCCCACTTCAAGTATCTTCATCGTTATTCACATGGAACTTTGAGTCCTGTAGGATTACCGCCAAGGAAGCCCTAACAGCAGTCGGCCTATTCACCAACCTTGTGCAGTTCATCGACCTTGGCAGAGAGCTTATCAAGTCTGCGAAAGAGACACAAGCATTGGGTAGCGGTGAGAACAAGAGTTTGAACGAAACCATTGTTCACTATACTCGCTCGACAGCTTCAAGAGCTTTCATCCAGATCGAAACTAGCCGTGGGCGGCGAGTTCAGCGAAGCCTTTGTTGCTTTTCACGTTATCGTTGCTGGGTAAACTGTCAAAGAGGGTGAGCGTTTGTGCGCCAAAGACGAGTAGTGAACAAAGATTCCATCGTGAATAGGAAGTGAGCGAGCATTAAAACGCTACCCAACACAAACTCATCGCAGGCCTTCTAGTACCTTGTGTCATCTCCCCTCGTATCGCTATGGCAGATAACCTACAGTCAACCCAGAGGTCGCCGCCCCAGGAGAAGAATGGTTTCCTACGCGTCACTCCAGCACGCGACAAACCACAATCGTCTGACTCACAGGTCCCGATGAAAACTATAAAACGACCGTTTGGGGGCGGCGAAACAACCGGCGAGCCCCTCATGAAACGCTCTCGCACAGATCAGAACGGCGACAGAAATCATCCCCAGGAACGAAAGCCGAGGACCCTAGACGCAGCAATGTTGAATGATCAACTCGGCCCGGCCGACCAGAGAACTTTAGAAGAAGTCAAGGCACGGATAGCATCAGCAACGCCGTCAAAACCTTCTGGTGAGTACATTACGCATCGCTCTTCACGTCACACAGAGTCGGTAAAGCCCGTGGTAACCACAAAACCTAGTGCACCAAAGTCGTTAAGAGATGCACCTCCGCTTCCTTCAGATACCGAACCTGATCGTGATTCTCCCGAGGATTCAGGATACGACAGACGTAATCACATGCGTACCGGACCGTGCTCTGTCGCAGGAGGCTTCATGGATGATAGGCGTTCATCTTTCTCCCCTTTGATCGAACATCAAGAACGCATTGACAGGCTTGATCCGGGACGAAACAAACCCATGCCGGAGTCTCGGAATCGACGTCGTTCCGCGTCGTCTGACGAGAGGCTCCCTGGAAAGAGGATGCGTGGTCAGGAGCGGCATGAGCAAGGCCATCACAGGGCGAGATCCCGTGAACGCGCGATGCGACATCATGATCGTACAAATAGTTGCCATATACGTTCGAGGAGCCGAAGTAGATCACTATCGCGAGAACAAAACGATGATCGGTATAGGGGAGGTTATGCATCTAAACCAGAGCGACAATCACCACGGCGGCGGGATGAAATTCTTCCCGATTTCGAGGAGGATAACCACCACGCCGCCCCACGATACCATCCGTCAAGGACTCAGCTACCACGCGGTTCAACGCCACCGCTACGGCTTCAGGGAAGACAAAGCCGTGCGATTTCGCCCCGGGAGCAGATGAGAGAGCGGCTAGCTGGATCACGAAGCAGAGAGACGTCGCAAATTCCAGAGCAAGACCACACCCACGTTGAGCCTTGGTCACAATTTGAGTCAGCAGATCCACCGCCCGATCCTCATGAAAGCCTGGGTGTCAATCCGGGCGAGTATACGGAAGAACAAGAACTATCACTTTTCGGAATTTTGATCTCCATTTATACGAACAGAGAGAAGATTGCAGAGCTTACTCTCAATCAAAAGAGGCTGCAGTATGAGCTTGATAATAGGAGGACTGCACTGAGAAAGCGGCGGAGCAGAGAGCAACGAGATGATCTTTAGATCTCCTCGCGTGCAGTTGTAGATCAAGCTTGGGTTGTGTGTACAAGTTTGGAGCATTCAAGATGAAATTCAATATTATTCCTTATATTACACCCTGGACGCGTGAATTATACAGGGCAGGTCGCAATTCTACATCAGCGCAGCGCTTTCCACCATGGGCCATTCGAAGCCGGGCAGTGCTTTGTTCAGCAAGCACATCTGTCCGCCTTGTATGAATGCGCAATGAAGATCTCATCGATGGATTTCCAAGAAGCGAGTGAGAGATGATATAGAAGGCAAAGCCGGCGATCCGCCGAATGTACTGAAGCTTTTACCTTTTTCACTCAGTCTCATCGTGACTCGCTCCAACGCCCATCGCTTCCCAACAAAATTACCCAATGTCGACTGGATATAGATTGAATCACCTGACAGACTTCGCGTCATCTTGTGTTGTAACGGAATAATCTTTCTTCTTCAAGAAATCATCTTCCCTCACTCACTTCTCCGATGGCATCATGCATTCACGATATGGGTTTCTTCACATTACGGATGTATAAATTCACAATACTTTTTCACCTCCAAGACACAGCTACTCACGAGATAGTTCATCAACACCATGGTCTCACTCGCACTGTCTTGCTACAACATACAACATGCGGGCGACTATAAAGAATTTCTCAGTATTGCTCCTTGGTTGGAAGTCATGACATAGCTCACATACTACAACGGTATTCACATCATCAAAGACTTTGAAAACCCAACAACCCAGCAACATGACTCCCTTCGGCAATCTATTCGGCTCCGGCTTTCGCTCTGACCGATCATCTTCCCGCCGTTATACACACGGCGGTTACGATAACTATGGTAGATCCAGCTCTAGCCGGCTCAATGAACCCTTCAATATGCCTTATGGCGATTACAGGACTACTTCACGCCGTGAAGAATCTGACAACTCAACTCTGCATCGTGCTGCTTCCCAGCGCGAGCCATATGACAACCGGTACAATTACCGTGACGTGAGCCCGATCCGCGCCTCCGAGCGTCCTCGCGCTTTCACTCATAAGCATGCCTACGATGATTATCGTTCGGTAAGTCCTCTGGGTACGTCTCGGTTCGAACAGCCGTCGATGGCGACACGCCAATTCAGCGCGTCAAACATGGGCGGTACATTGTCTGATCGTACCCCATCTTATGCGGCGAACTCTCGCGACACCTCGCGGTCGACCTCGTTTCGAATCGACCGTGGTTACGATGACTATAGCCGTCCAGAGATCTCGGGTGGAGGAATTTTCCGTAGCAGTGCAGCCCGTAGTGGAGATGCTTCTCGCCGTGTGGGAAACGATGAAGGGTACGGCTCGACACTTGGTCGTGAGCACCGTCCCAACCTTGGTTCGAACTTTCGACATGGTGGCTTCAATTGGGATCTCTTTTGAGCTTTTCTGAGTTTAGCATCCCTAATTCATCGTCCTTCTCCTACAATATTCTCTTGTTATCCTTTCTTTGTCAACGAATAGAATGAGAACTTGTATAAGTTACATATACTGCGATACAATGCCATTTATCTTACCCAATACCATGTTATGAACCTGTCATGATCTAACATACACGTGCGTATGCTTCTTGAACATGTCTTTAAATATGCGAAGCTGTCTACTTTAATATATACACCCGAATCATCCGAAACGTACGAAGTCGACCCTAAATCTTACTGTGTAAAGCTCTTTATCATCTTCCTTCCCCGAATATCGTCTGCGCTCACGGCCTCCGATGTCGCCGCATCCTCGTCTTTGTATTTTTCGCCCTCATTATCATCCGTGATAAGATCGTGAGGCAGATTAATGGCCCGATCGAGGGCATACGGCAGACCCCTGTGCCTACCACGCAGCATCATAGCGCAAATGACTACTTTGCCGAAGGTATTGAAGTGTCCAGACAGCGAGGTGAGGTTGGATGGGTGACCAAGCGAAAGACCGACGTTGCCGTATGCAGAGACAACTTCGAAGAAGATAGCGAAGACGGAGAAGGCCTGATAATAGGTTAGCACATGAATCCCAGTGAATAAAATTGATGTCCAACTTACCCAATCTTCTCGACTCATGATCCGATCACTCTCTGCAATACAGATACAAAACACGCCCAGGAAGATGTACCATAGATCGAAACTCAACTGATTCCGTAGATGACTGATCAAGTATGTTTTACTTCCCTTCTGCTCATCCAGGTTCTCATCTGCACCATAGATACCCACAGATTTCTCCTCGTAGCTCTCGCTCATACGGATAGAGATGGCGATTGGGTAGATGGAGATGTACATCATGACAAGGAGACTGAACTGTACAGCTGGGTTGACAGCCGCAAGGTTGAACGTCGACGTACCGGTGTGACGAGACGATGCAGACTGGAAGATGGCAGCGAGGATGCGGGACCCGACAGGTAAGACGTTTACTTCTGGGTTGTCTAGATCGAGCACAACGATGAGCAGAGTGTCGATGAAGTTCAGGGCGAAGAGAATGGAGGCTAGGATCCAGGTTGCAGTGGCAGGGAAAAGCAGTGTGTAGCATCTTCGCGGATGGTCGAGTAGGAAGCGTGTCGATTCTTCAAGCGAGGAGCTCGTAGGGGCAAGCTTGTAGATGGTCCAGATGACGAGGCGCAGGAAGACGGGATAGAAAGTATTACCGGCGAATGCGAGGAACGACATCACTAGCATCGGCCAGGTTGCGTCACGGAAGGTTATCATACTGTCTGGCGTAAGTGTCAGGCCGAGGTTATCGACCATGGTTTGCGCTGAGTAGAACGCCCACCATGTCTTGTCTTGACCCTGTGAAGCAAGGTAGTCTTGGTACTTTGCTGGCGCCATATGAATCCATGGGAGCAGGCAGATGACTCCGAACGTGTGTAGTCCGACAAAGTATCCGACCGTGACCTTGAGCAAGACGCGCAACGCACGGTACTCAACACCACCTAGCTCTTCTCGAGTCATGGAAGCCAGATCGATGGTGGGTTCTCTCCGTGGCTTGTCTTCGCTACGACGGTGGGTGCTTGCGGTACTTCCGAGCACGAATATGGATGACACAGCGCGATCTACGGACTTTGCCTTACTCATGGTTCGAGTGTTCATGCTTCTGGTCTCTGACAGGTTGCGACGTCGTGTATAGCTTGATTCTGCGACGGGCTTGATACGGTCTTCATCTTCGTCTTCATCATCGGACATCGAAGTAATGGGCTGACCATTCTCGCGTTCTCGTGGGCTAGGAATGTACAAAGTGCCTTTTTCTTTGGCAGTGTGTCGAGGGTCGGGTGCAAACGTGATGCGGGGAGCAGAAGGCTCATCGTTCGAATTCTCTACAGTGGAAACAGGCACAGGCTTCTTCTCCGAGACTGTCTCGCCAGTGAGACCTGCTTCAAGCTCTCGTGTATCGGAAGTATTGGTAGTCTTTTGGACCTGACTGATAGACAGTCGGGAGCTCCTAGGTCTAGTGTGTGCCGCTGCTGTTGAGCTGTTAGCTTTGGACGTAAAGACAGGACGAAGCTTGACATACCGACACCCTTCAGCTTCTGACTAAACCAACGTAGTCGCACAACGACGACAATGACATTAACAAATCCCAGGTTTGTAACGATGGGTGTGATGTAAACGAAGATTTGCTGGTACGTTTTGAGAGCCTTGACATCAACACTAGTTCACTGTCAGCACGAAGCCAGTCTAGCACATGCCAGTGAAACTTACGGATTCAACCCAGATTCGGTTGACGCGCTGACACCAAAGTAGTACGCATCGATAGCGGAAAGGTTGCCATAGGGATAGATGATGATCAAAGCTAAGATGCCAAAACTGAGAATGTAGGCATCTTCATGCCGTTAGCGATGCCACCCCTCTTGGACCAGGCAAGCACCCGTATGCAGAACTTACAATGCAGCGTAATGAAGTTTATTGGTGGCTTCCACATGCTGGTCTCTTCTCGTTTCGAAAAGAACTTTCAGAAATGAAGTTGAGGGATTTCCGTATACGTGCAGTGCAGCAACGAGACGCAAGGGCGAATAAGCGAACTAACGGTATGCCAAAAGAGCAGCAAAAAGAACTCAAAATACAGAGCTCGTTTACCAAAGGATTGGGAGATGTCTCGAGAGGGGTAGAAGCTCTAGGTAGGAAGGCAATGCAATGTAATGCGGTCTGGTCACAAAGGATAATGTTTGTATGAGGCATTTATCACCCTCACGATCAGCGGGCTGCTCAGCCACTGGTGGGCAAGTCATGATGGGCCTGCCTTTGCCTATTGCGGCGGATATACCGCCTGTGAAAGTAACGTAGGTCATATTTTACTTGCTTTGCCGGTGTTTGCCAAGCGGGGGATAATTCGCGCATTGTGACGATGTCGTGGTCGCGGAGTGCGAGTGTTCCTACAAGCCTTCTGGCTGCAGACTAGCGTGCGACCCTCCCGCTGTACGAAGGCTTGTGATTGGCCAGCGGGCTCATCTGTATGCAGGTGCGCGCTTCCTTGCCCTGTGGGGGTATTTATTTCACATGGTTAACTCGTGGCTTCGCTTGTGGTGTCGTGGATGTCGTTGTACGTAAGTTACGTCGATGTTCAGGTTTTTCAACATGCGAGATGACTGTTCATCGACGGCTCCCATTGTACGGTGTAGTGTTAACGGTACTTCAAATGACCGCAAAAGGCCCATCATGTGTTAGTGCGTCCAATTCAGCCGTAGCCATCTCATCCAGCCGAGTCCAAGAACGTAAGACTTTACGTTAAGAAAACCCATCTACCCCTTCAAATTATTCGCGCAAGTCTCGCTAGGATTCTACAGACGCTTGATTCGACTTCCTTCCTTTTGCGACCGTACTTTGTACGTGACGTTAAGCATAGACATGCGATGCACGTGTACATCATTAGAAACGTCAATGTAATTACTATGTCCTTATAGGCATTATCCCCCAAGCACCAGAGACTCAGAATGTCATTGTACGGGGTTGTTCTAAACCAATGCCTCAAATATTCCCATCGATATCACCGAAAGACAAAGCACGCCCTTTTTATCCTTCCGCATTTCTATTGAATCATAGCCCAAGTTCCCACAGCACCAGCAAGAATCGCAACAACAGCACCCAAAGCCAGATGGATCGGCTGAATCTTGGTTGCAACAGCAGTCTGGACGACGGGTCCAGCAACCGTCTCGGCGATAGGAGTAGCCATAGTTTCGACGACCGATACAGGCTGGTGCTTCTTCTGCGCCTGCGCCTTCTTGCCGCCTTTTGTGCCACGCTTCTTCTTCTTGGCTGCTGGAGCAGTACCCTCGCTATTGTCTTTGTTTTCATCCTCCTTTTTATCAGGTGAATCTGGTGTTGACGCATTGGCGGATTGCTCAGACATGAGGACGTCGTATATGTTTGACAATGTCGCCGCCTGCTTGTCTTCCTTACGCTTTTCGTTGCGCCTCTGGTTCTTCGTCTTGCCGGGTGTAGGAGGTTGTGCAGTTTCAGTAGAAGGCAGTGGTACAGGAGGAGCGACAGGGAAGATATGTATGGGAGCCTTCTCGGATGACTCTACTGTTGGCTCAGATGGTGCCACGGGTGGAGAGGCAGCAGACTGCTCTGAGATCGGACTTTCGATAGGCAATAGCGACCCTTCAGTATCCTCAACATTGATGAGCCTGAACTGATCAGCAATGGTTTGTTCCTCGATGTGTTCTTCTATCTCTGTCGGTGCGACCGACGTCGAGGGCTCGACAATGGCCCCATCATTCTCCTGAACAACGGGAAGCGGTCCAGAGACCTCGAGCGTAGACTCCACCTGGCCTTCAGTGGACTCTACCTTGGCTGGCGAAACTGGCAGCGGAACATCTTCAGCCTGCTTCGAACTGATGGAAGCATCGGACGTCGATGGCTCAGTCTTTACAATCTCAGTCGCAGCAGACTGGGCAGCGTCGGTCTTGGCCTTGTTAACCTTCCTTCCGCCCTTCTTGCCACGCTTCCCCTTCTTCTTGGTCTTCTCACCAACGTCAGCATTCTCATTCGCCAGATGTACGTTCTTTTCCCCGTCAACTTGGTGTGAGAATGTTTGAGTAGCGAGAGACTCCCCATGTACAGATGGTGCGCTCTGTATACTCATCTTCGCAGCAGGAGTATCCTCCTCGACTGCATCGGTCAACAGCTCCTCTGGTTCGACAAGCTCTTTTTCCTCGGTTGCGAGAACGTCATACCTATTCGACTTCAACGAAGCAGAAGATGCAGAAGAAACGGGAGAAACGGGCGACTTCGACCTAGTAGGGGTGGATCCGGCGGTAGCTATAGAAGTGCCTTGCGACTTCGGGTCGACAGGAGCGACCTTGGAGAAAGCGAAAGGCGGGCCCCATAATCCATCCCACTCTTTCCTCAACTGCGATATGGGAATAGCGGTATCGTTCTCGGATTCTGTCGTGGCCATGGCGGCTGTTGGAGTTTCGGCGATCTTATCGTTATTGAGGACGGTAGCAACTGAAGCAGATTTGGATTGTCCTCTAGTGGCGATGTTGGTCTCAGAACGTGTCTCAGTCTCCTCTGAGGTCTGCTTGACTGGCGCGACACGCGAACCTTTGGTATCTTCTTTTTCAGGATCCTCAAACATACCAGGCCACACACCGTTCACTCGATCTTTCTCCATCAGAATCGCGACAATGTCCCTCGGTTCTGCACCATCAGGAATGCCATGAATCTTAGCCAGAATCTTAAGCTCATTCACCGATTTACTACTGTAATGCTCAAGACTGGCTGCCTCCGAGTAAGGTGTTCTAGCCGCGGTGTTAATGTTCGCGGGAAGCGACATTGTGGCTGAGGATCGTGCGGGTATGTGATTCGTGCTAGTTTCGATTCGAAAAACTTCTAGTTCGAGATGGCTGGTTGCAGAGTGGGTGGAATTTGAGGTGAGTCGGTAAAGTCAGGATAGGAGGGTACTTGTAAGGATTTCTAGGATTACAACAGTGAGAGCGTGGGGTTGCGTTGGTACGCAACGGAGGGGCGCGCGCGCCGATCCAGGAGTGAATGTGCTTTGACAATTTTCTTATGATTGAAGGATTGGCTGAGTTATTGTGTAATAGGGTGTGTTCCATGGAAGCGAGTTACCAGACCCGTGATTGATACCTCTTAGTGGGCGGTCGAGCTTTCGCGTAGCAGGCATTCACGCATGATTACAGGTCAGCGGCCACGATAATGGAAAAGTAAAACGAGGTTTTCACTTAGCTCAGTAATACGGTTCTGAATGATGCCACTGATAGCTTGAGTGATTACAAAGACCAAATGTAACAGAGTATGCGGAGAGAGTATTGGAAATTGCGCGGGTGGAGAAGACCTACATGGTCTGAGGCTGTGCCTATGAAGACACACGTCGGATACGATGATTCGCGGTAAGAATACAAGTGGAAATATATGAGGGGTATCTTAAGGATTATACAACGAGAAAGACTGCTTCAGCAGGAACTCGATCTGCGCCACAGTGAAAGGAAGGCATTCATCGTAAGACGCAAGGATGAACCATTCAATCGAGAGGGAAACCAAACTTACGGCATCACCGGAATCTTTGTGACCCAGTCCTCCACTACCCAGCCGTTATCTTGATATAACTTCTGCAAGTTTGATCGAAATTGCGCTGCTTTCGTAACAATCTCTGCGACACTCCGTTCGCGCAAACATCCACCTAGCGGACGAGACGAATTAGGCTTGCAATACGTTGTGAAGATCTTCTCGAAAACTTGTGGACCTATATGACGGTTAGTATAGAAACGAGAGACTCGTCAGAGAAGATGAAACGTACCAGCATAACGCTTCAAGCCGTCGAGTAAAGCGGTCTCTTCTTGTTCAGTCCATTCTTGACTGTCGTCCAATGTCGAAGCTTGTCGATGTGGAGGAGCAGACCGAGACGTAAAGACCGGCAGCCGCTCGAAAACGACACCGTTGGCATCTTTTTCTTCCAAGTTTTCGAGCCTTGTGATGGCCAACTTCAGTCTTCTATGCGGATCAGTTTCACAGAGCATGCGCTTGATATGTAGATCCTGCCAACGTTTCCACCGCTGCGTTTGCGCCTCGAGAGACATGGTCTTCCGGTCTTCCTCCTCCTTCTGCTCTTTCATCTTGCGATCGAGTTCTGCTTGCTGCTTGCGATGTTGTTCCGTGGCTTCAAGCCTACTCAGACATCTGCGATATGTCTTGTCTACATGTCGAAGATGGGCAATGAGACTGATATCCACGTCTTTGATAATTCTATCACCCTTGAAGTGCTTGGGAACAAAGACATTCCAATCTGCAATCGTGTCTTTGAACGCCAGTATCTGGCGTATCAAGGGTGACAGTATCCGTAAAGCGCCTAGTGAGTCGGCCACTGCACCGTCGTTCTCGTCTAGCCAAATATATAGTGCTTCGAGGTATAGTATGATAGCACGGAAGACATGGCCATACGCGTCACCTTTGAAGGCGCGCTGGTCTTTCTCTTTGACACGAGTGTTAATTTGCCTGAGCATTTCTTGTAAATCATTGACATCTTCAGCAACTTGCTCCGTCGGTATATCGCTATCCTGAAGGTGGGTGCGATGTACGTTGCATTTATGGATGATCGAAGTAGCGATCTTAGTTTCACACTTGCCTGGCCGTGGCTTAAGGTTGAGGAACTCAAGGACGGTTTCAATGCTTCCAGGCTGTCCTGTAGGACGTACTGTTTGGTGACCGTCATCCGAAATGCTTTCAGATCTCTCTGCGTCCGGCTCACGCTCAGACTCGTTATCGGACTGGGCACTTCCAGACGCGCTTTCGATCTCTACGACATTGGCTATTTCTGTAGCCTTCTTGGATGGTTTTGCGTGGATCTGGGGTCCTCGCTTCCTGGCCGGTAACGGCTGACTGGTCACTGTAGTATCATTGTTAAGTTTTCTTCGAGATTTTAGTTTTGGTGCAGCACGTTTTGGACGTGAGCCTTTCTCTTGTACAGGATCGTCGGCGATTTCTTGCGTTCCTTGTTCGTGGTTACTGTGATCCACCTTCTCTGTGGTGCTCTGCTCTTGCGATCTCCGCCGGACCGGAATTCGGAACCGTGGATGAGCCTTCCTTGATGAGACTGATTCCGCAGTCGTTTGCCTCTGTTCTCTCTGACATTTCGCAGGTCTATCATCACCGTGTTCCGACTCTGATTTCCGTTTCGATACTGCTCGTGTGTTGGCAAGATGTTCTAGCGCATCAGACGGTCTTTCGCCCACACTGGGTGGTGTTTCGTGACGAGTGTTATCGACGGCTACGGTATCGCTTTGCGACGGAACGAGTCGAGGCGGTGAGGAATGTAGGACAGTCTCTGCTGATACCAGGTCTCCAGGCAGAGCCAAATTCTCTACCAGCTCTTCGGGATCCACCTGCAATCCACCTTCGGTCTGCACCGGAAGATCCGACGAAGCTACAGGAGCATCACTCGATAAGTCCACTGTTTTCGCCTTGCCTTTCTTCTTTTTCTTCTTAAGGATCTTCAAGGGCTTGTGGTTGACCTTCTCTGGCAATGCATATTTGCCCTTCTCAGGGCTCAGCTCAATCTCGTACGGGTCACCTCTGACCGCTAGATTCTGTTTTGAGCTCTCATCCCTCTTCAGGCTGACCCGCTTGAGTTTTCCCTGACCTTGTTTCCCTTTCCACTCTGGAAAGCTAGGAGGGTTTATGCGCGCTGCGTTGAGGAGGTTTGCGCCGAGGACCGCGGACGGTGCGGGCAAGTCTGCGAGTGGGGAATGGGATTCGGTGAGGAGCTGCTGGGTTGCTGCGTCGTCGTCTGAGGAAGGTGAGGGGGGTTTGCGAGCTAGTGTGCTAGTGTTAGCTCAGGACGCGTAGGACGGAAGCTTCAGCTATGTTTATAATAGGTAGCGGCCATGGAGAACTTGGTGTAAACACCTGCCAGCTCTACTACACCATGAGCTTGCGGCTGCGATGACGTACCGCTCTGCTTCGACGTGTCCTTGAGGCGCGCCATCAGTGAGCGTCAAGAACGCTATTGCATCTGTGTTGATGAGCCTCGGCGATGTCGGCGATGTGGGGGAGTGAAGTCATCCCCACGCTCAAAAGCAAGAGGAGGCTGGAGCGCCGGGCGCGAAAGTGGGCCTCAGACACGCTATCACATGAGATCGTCCCTGCGCCTGCCCACTATCGATAAACCACAAACTATCACCACACCCCCCATTCCGCAATGTCATCCAATCCCTCTAAAGCACCCGTACTAGAGCTACTCCGTAAAGATGCATCGCACACTTTCGAAATTCCCGCGAAACGTATTCACGATGGCGACGATGTCACTTTCTTCCTGGCAAGCAGAGCCTATGCCGATATCATGACTTTTATCTTCCAGCTCAACACAGCTATGATACCCCGAAAGATCAAAGAATCTCAAGAGCAAGGAGGCAACACAGGTTCATTCAAAGAGTGGAAATTGAACGATCCAGACGTTCCTCATCCCCCCGTTGTTGCAAACCTCGCCAAGCTTCTCGACACCCTGGCCTCCATCATCGACGAAGCACCGCCAGACCCAGGTCCGCGTCGCTTCGGAAACGTCAGCTTTAGGACCTGGTATGATATTGTTCGAGAAAGGGTGCCTGAACTACTAGATCAGTATCTACCCGAACAGGTACTCGCCTTCAAATCCGCGTCCGATGTCTCTGCCAAACATGAACTAGAAGCCTATCTCATCGGCAGTTTTGGTAGCTCTCAACGTCTCGACTACGGTACAGGCCATGAACTCAGTTTCCTCGCTTTCCTAGGCTGTCTCTGGAAACTGGGCGCTTTTCCTCATTCGGAAGATGGCGAGCAGGAGCGCGGTATCGTTCTTGGAGTAGTGGAACCATATCTCGCTCTGATACGACGGCTTATCCTGACGTACACACTTGAACCTGCTGGCTCCCACGGTGTATGGGGGCTAGACGATCATTCGTTCGTTCCGTATATCTTCGGCAGCGCGCAACTTTCTCCCGCTATCGTTACGCCTGCAGATGTCGCAGCAGAAGGCTCGTTACCGACTGCTCCTAACCCAGGCGACGTGGCCAAAGCCACCGCTGTAGCCCGAGAGCGAACGCGGAATATGTATTTCAGTGCCGTCGGCTTCATCTACGATGTAAAGAAAGGACCATTTTGGGAACACAGCAATATCCTGTATGACGTCTCTGGTGTTAAGGCAGGATGGGCCAAAATCAACAAAGTAATTCACACTGCTTTCCTTACCAGAATGCATCAAACTGACAATAGTTTTAGGGGATGATCAAGATGTACAACGCAGAAGTTCTTTCCAAATTCCCTGTAGTCCAGCACTTCCCGTTCGGCTCGCTTTTCTCCTTCTCAGCGGATCCAAATGCGAAAACCATTCAGGCAAGTGTTCATACTGCCAGTCAACCTAAGTCGAGTACACCGTCTACCACAGCACCTACTGCTCGACCGGGTCCACAGTCTGCGTTACGGGATCCGATGGCCGACCCTATGGGTGGAGTAGCTAGGGGAGGCGGAGTTGGTACTGCTGCGCCGTGGGCGGGTACTGGGGCTAGAACGGCGGGTGCTGGAATGCCTCCAATGACGGCCGCGCCGTGGGCTACTGCTGGTGCTAGTGCTAGAGGCATAGGTAGTACAGATGTACCCAATGGTCCGAATCAGCCTACAAAAGCGCCTTGGGCGAGTAGAACGCCTGCTCCACCACCGACAGTAGGTGGCACTACAGCACCATGGGCAAGAGGGAATGCAGGGGATACGCAGAATGCCCAACCAAGTACGAGGGCACCTTGGGCGGATAAGAGATAAGATAGGGCAAGATCAAAAAATAAGACACTAGACACGTGTAGCATGTTTTCGTGTACGACATGTACGATACGAGACTCGAATTTGTCTATTATAAGAAGCTTGGTAGGGTCATGACCATAAACTACAGAGTCATGCACTACGCACCCCACAATATCGCAAGCTTCCACCAAGATATCGTTCTTGGGCTGTCTATCCTCCTTTTCACACAATCAAGCAACATTTTCCATCAATCCTGCCCCCACCGTTCGTCCCCTCTCTCTAAGCACGACCCTCATTCCCTCCTCCACCGGTAACTCCTTTTCCAGTTGCACCACCACCCTTGCTACCTCACCTGGCTTCACAATTCTCGGCTTCTTCTTCACAACCTCTCCTGTAAACTTATTAAGCTTAGCGCTCAGCGTTCGAATTCCTGCAGGTGAGTTGAGTGTGCTCCTAAAGACTTCCACCGGCATAGGCAGTACGTGTTCGAAAGCGAGGAGCTTGGACGTAAATGCTTTGACAAGTTTGACAGGATCTTTGGGGGAACAGACAATGTCTCCCTGACGAAGGTGAACGGGGTCGATGTCCGTGAGGTGGAGGGTAGGAATTTGACCGCAGACAGCCCAGTCCACGGGTGCGTCTTGCACTTCGATAGATTTTATAGTTGCGGTTTCATTGGCAGGGAGAGCGAGGATAACGTCGCCCACTTGTAAGGTTCCGGCATCGATACGGCCTGATATGCTTAGCGGTGAACGGATATCACCTCGAAAGACGTCAGCAACAGAGAGCCGAAGTGGTTTCGTGAGGTTTCGGGTTGGTAGATCGATTCGTTCTAGAGCTTCTAGCAGAGTCTCGCCAGTGTACCAATGTGCGGCCGAGTTTTCGATCTTCTTGACGACGTTTTCTCCGGTCAGACCAGCTAGGGGTATGAATGTTATTCGCTTTTCGAGGAAGCTTGCTTCGGTGAGGAAGGTGGTCATGAGTTTCGAGATCTCGTCGAAGCGTGATTTCGACCATCCGACTGTATCCATCTTATTCACGGCCACAACGATATGTTGCATACCCATGCTTCGTGCAATTAGAATGTGTTCTTTCGTTTGACCCTTGAGACCAGATTCGAAGCTGTTGGTGCTTGCGTCGATGACAAGGACAGGGAAGTCGGCTTGTGATGCACCCGAAATCATTCTTGGTATGAAGTCCTTATGACCAGGCGCATCCAGTATTGTGAACACGCTCCTGTCTGTCTCGAAGTAGTTTGTCGCAATGTCGACGGTAACACCACGACTCCGCTCTTCGCTCGTTTCGTCCATGACCCACGCGAGCGCGAATGATGATTTGCCAATAGTTTCTGCTTCTTTTCGTAATTTGTCTATCGATCGCTGATCGACAACATGAAGATCGTAAAGCAATCGCCCCATGAGCGTACTCTTACCGTGGTCGACATGTCCTGGAGGAGTTAGTACTCTAATGACGAAGGACGAGCAGGGGCTGCAAGAGTCTACTCACCGAGCACTACAAAATTAGCCATCCGCTTCGAAGCGCTCTTTTCGAACTCGTCTACAACGTTCAAGTTCTTGCTCTTGACTCTTGGCTCGTCGGCCACGGTAAGCTTGTCGACCGACTCGGCTAAGTCACCGTTGGTCTGCTTTTTCTTCTTCTTTGGTGTAGTTCCTGTATGTCTTAGAGAGGTTCAAATGAATTTGCCAAGAATCTAGTGACGTCCGCCGCCTGCGCCCTTTGCCTGTGCTGCCCGCACAATATCGTCCGGGCTTGGTCCAGCAAAGGCTCCTGTGCCATCATAGGATTTGTACGCAGCAAAGGGTATCGGCACCTCTTGTAGCGGTGCTTGTATGTGCTTTGACATTTCGTCGGGCCCACAAAGGGTGGAGGCGAACATAGAGGCCGTAGCGCGTTGAGCAGGCGATTCGACAACGACGGCAGGCTGAGGAGCTTGGGGTTCTTCTATTTCGGGTTCTTTGGGTGCTTCTGGTGCTGGCGATGGCGAACGTCTGCGGACAGGATATCTGGAAAGTCGAGCTGGACGCTCAGACTCGCCACTATCGCCTCCAGAATTGCTACTCCCTTGGTTCTTCACCGAGAGCTTATCGAGCATGGCGATGGCTGAGTCGGCGTCGTTGTTTGCCTTGGACGCAGCAGCTTCCGCATCTTCGCGCTCCTTCCTCCGCTTAGCCGCAAGGGCGGCTAGTTTCGAAGAGCCTCCAAGCAGGCCGCCTTTGTAGTGGGGGGCATCGACGGTGATGACGCCTAATCGTTCGGGTGGCACGTTGCCCCAGGGCACATCCCAGAAGAAGTCTGTGACAGCAGCGTTGGTAGGCATCGAGATTGGGGCAACGGTAGAGGATGGGCAACAGGACGACAGGGCAGCAGACTCGTCTACATAGCTAGAATGGGGAGAGAGTGTGAGTGTGCTTACCTGTGGTTGCGGGCGCGTTCTGGTCTGCTACGCTTGCAGCTTGGTCGAAGCGCGACACTGGTTTTGCCTTTTCCTGCTTGGGTGCCTCCTGCTTCGGCTCTGCTACCCCGAGCTTGTTCTTCAGGTAGCTCACACTCTTTCCGATGTCGTAGTAGTAGTGCCATAACGCTTCTTGTATCTGCTCATCGCTCGTGAAGTCGCTCATATCTCCTAGCGCCTCGCGGACTTTGACGGTGCCCACACGCATCTGCTCTTTGTCGTCCTCCGTCATGCCATCTCCTCCCGCATCGACGTCCCCGGCGTCGTCTTCGTAGTAGTCATCGTCGTCGTAAATATCGTCGTCATCGTAATCGACGTTGCGCGTGCGCGAGAAGCCGCCTGCAGGCATTGTGGGTATTTCTTGATTCGACGGTGTGTGTGGGTTACGGGCAGGTTGACTTGTGTCGAGTGCACCCTCTGGTATCGAATTGGTGCGCAGGCGTGTAGAGTTGTTGGGGCCAAATAGCTCGCGGTTTCTCTACCTAATGTGAATAATCGCGTCCCTTCATTGACGTCGTTGGTGGGGCGACTTTCCTTGACGTGTAGCGCGGCTGCTATTGCCCCGCGCTAGTTGGGAGCTTTCAGCAATACAATGACGATGATTCGTCTAAGTCACTTAGGCAGACGATCAAGGTAGAAATCATAAAATTGTTCGATTCAAAGTCAAGCTCGCCTACAGCTCGACACACCTATCGAAAGATACAGCAGTGGGGTATAGTATTAGTGGAAAATCACAATGCTGAAAACGAGGCCTGACACCCGCGCCCTTCGCCTGTCGGTATTCAAAATGTTTTTTTGTTCGCGGGCCTCTCAGCCCACTATTTCATGTCACGCCTGTAGTCTCCTGAACTCAATAGGGACGTCTCTATTTCTCTGCCTTCTCTTCGGCGGCGGCCGGGGCAGCAGGAACTGCGGTGGGTTCAGCACTAGGCGCAGGAGCGGCAGCAGTGGTGGGAGCCGCTGGAGTAGGTGCGGGAGCAACAGGCTCCTCAGCCTGAGCGGCGGGAGCAGGCGCCGCAGCTGGTGCAGCTGGTGCAGCGGGCTTGTCCTCGCCGAAGTTGGGCTCATCAAACATAGGTCCGCTTGTAGCGCTCATACCAGCAGCGGGCTGGCTGCTAGGAATGGCGGGAAGATCCAAAGGGGCAGCTGGTGCAGGTGTATCCGTCGCCTTGGCCTCAGTGTCCTTTGGTGCCTCGGTGGCTGTGGGCTGAGCCTCAGCAGCGGTCGGGGGAGCGGGTGCAACGGCGCCAACTGGTTCGGGTGCTGGAAGAGGATGTATTAGTCTATGGTATCTTGAGTGACAAAGGAAATTCGTAAGATTTCGAGCGGGAAGGAGATGTAGTATCTGGCCGTAAGGTCGTAAACGAGCGGTTGGAAGTGCGATAAGCTTGACCAGCCATATCGTTGCAGGTGTTTTCCCACGCCTAAATGGGATCGTTCCACTGACTGCGATCCAAGCCGACTTTCTGTCGTCGCCTGGATCCATGCCAGGCATCGTCTCCACGATATGGTAGTGGACTAGAATGTGAAGGAGATGATAACCTACTCGACGTGGCCTGCTTGACTTCGGCCAATGCAGCGGCTTCATCCTTCTTCGCCTCACCCTGAGCAGGATCCGAGGCTGGAACCGCTGCGGGTTCAGCAGGCGCAGGGACTGGCGCAGACGCAGACGCTGGGGCAGCAGGTGTCGTCTCAGTCTTCGCGGGCTCGGGGACGGGTGCGGGAGCGGGTGCAGCTGGCGTAGTCTCGCTGGGTCTGGTTTGCGCAGGCGTAGTAGAGGCCTCAGAAGTGGCCGTGGGCTTTGGCTCTTCCTTCTTGGACTTCTTGCCCTTGAAGAGACCCTTGAAGGCCTTCTTCATCTGATCCATCGCGTCAAGTGCTGTGGGAGTAATGCGTCAGATAACGATTCTGTATGTGCTAGTGATCGCATGGAGCAGTCTCGAGGATGATGGCTTGTAGGCAGGTAGACGTTTGTGCATACATTGGGCACGTAAATAGGCAACCACAATAAGGAAGTTTGCGCATCCGATCGAAAAGCGCGACTAATCCCAAGATGGACGCCATTCCCACGGTGAAGGTGAAGGTGAAGGTGAACGGGGATTGCACTTACGAACTCCCGGCATGCTGATGACGAGTTCTAGCTGGCTGCTAGATAAGCGCTTAAGGGTTGGGTATTAGCACGAGGGAGCGGAAAAGGATAAAGGGGACAGCGATGCAGTCAATGAGTAGCTAAAGCCGGTGGGTGCCTAGGTAGCGCAAGGAGCGTGATGATGATAGCAAAGAGCGCGAAGGATGTCAAGTTGACGAAGCTCTGTTGTTCTGGCCGGGACCCTGAGACGCTAAGCCAATCGTCTCCACCTCCACATTCATGCACGCCGTTATGCACCATGCAACCAAAAATAGCCGCCTACTGCACCGCTATCTGCACGCAATCAGTGGCCGATGTGTTTCATCTTCTATCGAGTACATGACAGGTATGCAAGACACCATGGCGTTGGTTATCAGGTACAGCCCGCCTGATTTGTTGCCAGCGAGGCCTCCCAACACTGCAGAAATTAATCCCTTTTTCAGGCTAGCGCTTATCCCCCTGCATTGGGACAACTTATGAAGATCACATTTAACTGATATTTGTCTCCACCACGTGAATTATACCACCTTGCACCCAACATGGATGTCAGGAACACGACGACTGTAAACGGGCAGCTTTCTGCACCGTTCGCCGCATTGCAGCACAGTCTCATCGCGCAATGCATCGTGGCCATCGCGGTAGTGTGCGTCTGTACTCGGATCCTTTCCGGGCATACCTTCAGATCTATCAAGTACGGAAAGGGTCGTAATGTCTTGCCTCCAACGCTTCCTTATTGGATACCTGGACTGAAACACGCCTTGTCTTTTGCTTATGATTCGCATGGCTTCCTAGCGAGATGCTTGTAAGTATCGTCCTCACGTCGCCATTGAGGCTGTCCATTGACGGCCACCACGCGATCGTCGCACTATAGCGAAACTGACATCGCAACAGGAACCAGTATGGCGATGGTTCGCCTTTCTATCTAGACGCCGCAGGCCAGAAATTACTTGTCGTCTTGGATCCAGAGCACGTCAGAGGCGTGCTCAATTCCTCATCCGAATGTGATCCAAACCCATTTATCCACGACAAGATCATGGGCGCTTTGATGGGAAGCCCATAGGAAGCCATCGACCATTACAAGTCTGAGAATGGTAACACAGACTACATTCAAACAACACACATCCGACAGCATACCACAGGATCGAATCTTGGCTTACTTGCCAAACGGCTTTTCGATGTCATGAAACGGACCGTCACCAAAAGCTTGTCTTCAACTCCAGAAGGCGAATGGAAGGACATTCCTGATCTTTACGACTTCATCGAGTATCACGCGTCCTACGGCATCGCCGAAACCCTTCTCGGCACATCCATCATGTATCCAGGAATCATATCCGATGTCTGGATCCACATTGAAGCCACGGATCAATTCTTCATGGGCCTTCCCCGCTTCCTTATCCCCAAAGCCTACGCCGCGCGTGATCGCCTGCTCAACGCCATTAGAGCTTGGACCAAGGAATCCGAAGTGTTACGCAAGCAAAACGCTGTAAACACTACCTGGGACCCCATCGCAGGTTCTGGTCTTCTCCAAGAGAGAGAGGAACTATATAGCAAGATGGCTGGCCACGGTGTAGATGGTCGCTCCGCACAAACCCTCGGCCTCCTCTACGGCGGAACCAGTCTTACCGTGCCAGTAACATTCTGGTACTTTTTCGAAACACTACGCGATCCCTCTCTACACCGTCGCGTGCTCGATGAAATCAGGAATGGTGTCAATGAAGAGACGCAAGGCTACAACTTTATGCAACTGAGCGCACGGCCTTTGTTCCAGTCTCTCCATGCGGAGACGACACGAATGTATAGTTCCAACCTCGCTGTAAGAGAAGTCACAGCCCCGACATATGTGCTTGACGAGAAATACACTATACCAAAAGGCACCGAGGTTTATCTTTCTCATAAGTACAATGGGCAGTTCACCCCAGGGTGGAAGGCTGCAAGGCCTCAGGCTACTGCGAAACCCCTGGATACTTTCTGGGCTGAACGGTACTTGGTCAGCGGCAGCGGAAACGACGACAAAAGAGGAAAGTTCAGCGATGCAGGTTTGAGTGGTAATTGGACTTCTTTTGGGGGCGAGAACATAAATGTCCTGGAAGGCATTTTGCCCGCAATATCGGTATCGTAACGTTGGCAATCTTCACGGGTGAATTTGAGATTGAGGTAGTTGATATGGAAGGGGCACGAGCTTTGGATCCAGGGAACAAAAAGAAGGCTTTTGGGACAATGAGGCCTAAGCAGAAAATTGCGGCAAGGATTAGGAAGAGGGTATAGGTATTGTTTGATAAGTTGAGAGTGTGGATATGTCTGAGCAATATTCATCTATCTCGCTGTCTGTTATACTCTATCGACTGACAAAAGCTTGATATATGACCTACTTTTCAAGTCTCGCAGCCTTACTCTCGTCTCTCCACCACTCGCACTGCTTCCTCCGAATCCCATCCCCTTCAACTCTAGTGTTGCCGAAAGGCTCCATCCTCAACTGCAACCCGGGCTTACCCTCACCTTCATCCGCATAAAGCGGCCAGTATGGCACACCTGTCCTGTTGCCGGCATTGGGATCACCCAGCGCAACAAAGTCCGAGAAATAAGCATTCAACAACTCCTTGCCGACTTCGGGGTACTGGACACCGCCAGCACCGGCTGGCTCAGCCCAGGTGTACTTTGTGTCGGCAGTATGCGGTATTCCCTTCCAAGTGGGGAACGTGTTGTTTGTAGCGAATACCAGCTTATGTACTGGTACGTCGGCGGCGGACATACGGAGAGCAGTTTCTTGGCCGGCGCAAACATACATGTAGTCTGTGAGGGCGGCAGAGAGACGATTGTATTGAGTTGAGTTGGAGCTATGGACGTATGGCCCACTGTCCAATCCTGTGGGGTCGGGGTATAGCTCCTCAAGATCAGAGAGGTCTTCGGGTGTGAGTCCGGGGATCAGGTTCTTCATGAAGGCAAGGAATTCATCATTGGTCTCAATGTCGCCGGGTGAGTAGTACTTTGCTTCATCAGGGACGTTGGTCGTGATGGTGGGGATGCGGTAGAATTGGCCGTTGACTCCAGAGGTTGAGCCCGCTTGTTCGAGAAGGGGGCCACCGCGGGTGGGCTGGAATGGCCATGTGATGGCATATTCAGAAGCGCGCCATATTAGAGCGCTAGCATTCTGAATGGCAGCAGCGGGGACAGAACGCAAACAGCTGAGGATTTCGGTATCGGTGCTGTTGGCCACAGCGCTGCAACCTGTAAGACCTAGGTATCGCGAGAACTGCTCTTGGTACAGGGGGTAAGACGCGTTGGGGAACGCTCGAGCGGTTACACTGCCGGATTGGAGAAGAGCTTGGGAAAAGAGTGGTGCGGCGCCCTCGGTGGTGTTATAGTTGTGGAACAGATGGATGCCGACTGAGTGCGCACCAGCGGAACGACCTCCAATGGTGACTCGAGAAGCGTCGCCTCCAAAAGCGGAGATGTACTTTTGAACGAACTTGAACAAGGTCTCCTGATCTCGAAGACCCAGGTTAAGAAGTCCTTCGCGTTCAAAGACGGGAGAGGGGAGGAAACCCCAAGAGTTTACCTGTATAACGTTAGGCTTGATTGTACAGAAAAAAATTACCATACTTACTCTGTAGTTGAAGTTGACAACGATCAACGGCTCCTTTGAATTAGCTACGAAACTCGGGCCATCGAAACTCCTAGCACTACCAGCAACGAAGCCGCCCTTTTGAAGTCAAGTCAGTAAATGCAGCACATACCCAATCCTTTTCAGAAACTCACTCCATGTATCCAGATTAGCACGGGCAACTTCTCGTGCGCGCCAACACCCTGCGGTCGGAAGACGTTCATGCTCAAACATGCCTCATCCATCTCGTACGTGATATCCAATGGATCCTGGTAACACGAGTATCCATAGCTCGTTGCATTCTTAACACCATCAAAAGGCTCTGGCGCTCCAACAGGCGCGAACCTCCCTTCTCCAACAGGCTGAGAAGCGTAATCGATTCCGAGCCATGCGTCTACAGCGCGTGGTAGAGGTTTCTTAGTCAAAGTCTGGGAGACTGTCGTGCCGAGGAAAGTGCCATAGCCAGGAAGTGTGACTTCGGATGTGTTATATGAAGCTGAGACGCCAGACAGGCTGGTGAGCAATGTGACTGTGGTAAGAAGGCGCTGAGCCATGTTGTGTTGACCCATGATGGCGTCAATGTGGGAAACTAAGGTTGACACGACGCGTTCGCACAACAACGAAGCTACGTCGAGCGAAGCCATCATGGAAGTGTATATAACGACATTTGATGCCTGCGCATAGTTCCGAGATCGGTCATACAACCTTGTAACTGCCCTGTATCTGTATTGATGTTGACTCCACTACCGTCTCCACTACCCCACAGTCTGGTAGTAGTCAGGTCTTGGTACCTGCTCCATGCGGCGGTGAACGAGTAACGCGGAGATACGCGTTATGCCGACTCGTTATCTTTGCATCGGGAATTTACCGGTACTTCTTTAGGAGCCGATCGCTATCATCGGACCGCATCCGACGCGACGGATGTTGATAAGTGTGAACGGATGTTGATAAGTGTGGAGATGGGAAGATGCAGGTTGAGCGAGCGAGTGAGCGGAGGTTTCCCGAACCGGGAAAAGACACCCCGAAGCCGAGCACCCTAAGCATGATGTAATGGCAACAACAATACATAGGTACAGCATTCTGCTCACGGCTCTCTGTTACGCTAAACACCTTTCGAAGTTGACACTTTTCCATATATCATTCGGCACACCCCAGCCTATTTTAAGGAATAGTGGCCCGTATAGGTTGGTGGTTGTGTCAGAATAATGCATTCCTTGAGTCCCAGTTCCGGGCAATGGCGAACAGCCTTCCAAGACAGGGAATATCTAATAAAAACAACCAGAGAATCTGCTGTACTCCATACTCCGTATCATGAGCATCGTCATCGTTGCAAGCCTCCACTTTACGAGCCTCCATCAAAACCCTTGTCTAATTTCTTCAGCGCCTCTTCAACCTCTACTGCCCTCTCTTCATCACCCCTCAAGCCTTGTACCCTAGGCAAGCCACGCATAACCTGTTGCACCATATCCTCTAGTGCCTTCGGATCCCTCAAGCCACCGCTCATCCTCGCCATCTCACCCAACGCAGCAGTAGTAGTAAGGTCGCTCTTGCCTTTACCCTTGCTGTTGCTATTGCCCCCGATATCTGAGCGAGACGTTAGTGGCTGGTTCTGACTCTGATGCGCAGGCGAAGACTGAGGTTGACGCTTGCGCAACATCACCTGGCCTTGTTTATCCATGTAGGTTTCGTACCCTTGTTGGTCGAGCACTTCGTCGGGTACACGGACGTTGACGGGTGATCTGTTGCTGCTGCTGCTGCTACCACTACCACCATTCTCACTACTACCACTGCTTTCGCCTGGGACAGCCGTGTTTGGATTTGAACTCGATGTTGCTTTAGGTTTGGCGTTGGCGTCTTGATTGACCTTTTCCAGAGCGTGAATGCGGTCTTGATTCTCCTTGTTGCCTTCCATAAGGAAACGTAGACACATGATGGCGTGTTCCCGAATATATGGGTTATGCTCGTCGTAGGAGCAGCAGTTGAGGACTGCTTCGATACCGCCGAGGGGACGGATTTGGTCTTGAACGTGCTTGTTCTTCCACACTAGAGAGCTGAGGACGAGAACGGCGAGCTTCTTGAGATTGCGCCATTCAAAGTCGGAGGGTTCATCAGCCGCTTCATCTATGTATGGTCGAGGTGACGGTGAAGTTGGCGGGGGTATGTATGGTTCAGCTGCAGCAGCTGTAGTATCATATGGCCGCTCAACAGCGACTGGCTGCGGCTGTGGTGGTTGCTGCTGTTGCTGCTGTGGCGAAGGAACATCCACCTCTACTGGTGCTGGAGGTGGTGGAGCATGCTGAACGTTCCTCAGGGGAGGCGGTGATAGCTGACCCTTGGGTATCGCTGCATCTAACTCTTTCAGAAGGGTTACCAGTTCGTGAGAAATTTCCCAGTTGCTCAACATCCTCTTCCACGTCTCATGTTCTGTGAGAATGGCAAAGAACTCTAGGTATTGATAGACACCTTCATACATGCGCTCCATATCCCAGAGATTCAGAGGAAAGTCTTCCGGCTGAGCATGGCCGGCGCGAATTTGGCCTTGAAGGAAGATGAGAGCGCATGTTTGAGGAATGATATGACGACGGAACTCAGTAAGTAGAAAGTTGACCATATGGACATCGCCTTGGTCCACTTGCGGGTGATTTGCTTTGAGGTGGCCCTTTGTAGGTTGAGCACGGGCTTGTCTGGCACGGAAGATGTTGGTGAGAAGCTTCATGATGACTGCCTGAGCCGGAGAGATGATGTCTTTCGATCTATCGCAGTGTCAGCAGGGTTCTGTGTCTTCGATAAATGTACTTACTCAGACTCTCTAAAGGCATGGTAAGCAAATGGCAGTAGTTGGTTCGCAAGGATAGCTTCCATGATCTTGACCATGAATTTGAAGTACAGCTCTTCTTCGCGTAGATCCCAAGCTGCAACAAAGATCAACAGCTCTCTAAGAAGATTTCGGCCATTATCCTGCGCAAGGAGCAGGTGACACCGCACACCATGCATGCTCCTAACGCTGCTGAAAACAGTCGTGTCCGAGTGATAACCAGGTTGTCCCTCTGTTGGCTCCACAATGCCCGCCATGATTATCATAGGCAAGACTTCAATCTCGGTAGGCCCCAGAATTAGTGGAACATCTGTAAGTAGCCCTCGGCCTTCATCACCAGGTATGTCATCGTAATCGTCATCATTATCATCGTCATCCTCTGGCGGAGGAGAAGTAGGAGACGCTACGTCACTGATTAGCCCTGATGGACGGTCGGGGTCTGGCTCCAGACGCTTAAGCAGATCTTCTTTGCCATTCTGGAGGATCTCCGCACCGAAGGATGGCGGGTATGTCACACGGAAATCGATCTCACCTGCCGGGGGAGACCGTTTGATGCTAGGATCTAGTAACGAGTCATCCATTGCTGGTTTGGGGGACTGCTTCTCCGCTGCGGTTTGGGATGCTTGTTGCTCGCGGCTAGATTCGTCGCCAGGGAGAGCGGTAATTGAAGAACGCATCCTGTCAACCTCGACTTGAAGTTGAT